CCTACCGGACCAGATATACAACCTATAAAACATACGCCGCATAACCTACAGGGGTTCGAACAGTACTACCACCACCACTACTACTACTACTACTACTACTACTACTACTACTACTACTACTACTACTACTACTACTACTACTACTACTACTACAACTACTACTACTACTACTACTATTATCCTCCTACTCTCGTCAGACTACCTCATCCTACTCCTTCAGTATGACGCCTTGCACGGCATGCTCACTAACCGCGCTATCCTCAACGGCGTCTCCGGCTTCTCCGGCGCTCCGAACTGGAGCTGTAATATCGACTCCCTCGGCGTCTAGCCCTTATCCGCCGCCTCGCCTACGCGCCTCCCGCCCGCGCTCGTCCCGACCGACCTCCAGCGGCGCACCTCGCATAAGGACTAGCTCGATATAATCCCCACCCGTGAAACCTGCTCCTCGCCATAGGCACCTTCAACGAGGGCGAGCTCTAGAACGATACCATCGGCGGGCTGTTCTAGGGGTTCCTCGACTTGGACGTGCACGCACGTGGGGTGGTAGCCTAGTCGCCGCCGTAGCACGTTAGTGGGTGGGAGGTCTCGGAGGGGTTCTGGCGGAAGTAGGCGTGGTCGTTCCACGTATGAGAGGATGTATTAGAGGCAACGAACCGGTGGAGGGCGAGGCGAGAAGAGGAGCCGTTTGTCTGAGAGGCTACCCAGCGGCTGCTAACGGGTGAACAGCGAGTTATCGCTACGGACGTGCCGCTTAGTCCAGACTTTTGCGGGTCACCACTTGGATCTGCCGAGCTGGAGACACTTTGTCCGAGTGGCATAGCTAGGGTATTACATGGCATGCGCCATCACGCCCCCCTTGCCAGAAGCACGAGACTGGCCACATTCAGAACCGTGATGCCCAGCCACACGAGTCCAGCAAAAACAGTACTTTACCACGACTCGGCCATTTCCCTCTGCTTGCCTGCTCCATCGTCTTCAGCGCCCTCACCCGGCATGACCGCCTGTGCCCTCAGCGTGTCTTCCGTGCTGCTCAACAACCTTTGGTCGACTTCTCGCGCAAAACGATCCTATTCTCGTTCAGAACACTTCTTCAATCCTGACCTCGTGTCACGCTAGATCCTGAAATACGCGCTATTGCGTCACGTCTTCATCCCAGAGCGCCTACGCTGGGGATACATCGTGGCAGGCTGAGATCGTCGTAGCCCTATGTGGTCCTACCTAATTTGTCGTTGCCGACGTTGAGTGTGTAGAGTTTATTCAAAGGCAGATGTATGAGATATTTGAGAAAAGGAGAGGCTATTGCCTATGCAGAATATCAATATGGAGGGGCTCGGCCTTGACAGTTGACTGCGGGCGTTGTCCGCACGGGAGCCAGCTCGAGCTTCCCCTCTTTCTACGTGGATCATGGACGACTGATGGCCATTACTTTCCCCCTTTCAATTCAGATTTCTTGCTCCTCATCGTTGAACAATACTAGCTCTCTACGGTTCTACTGCTATGCCCGCCCAGCGCCCACGCTTGCGAGTGGAGATTATGGTCGAGGTGAGTTTCTTTACTCAAACACCTGCGTTTTTACTGCCTAATGCTAAGCGGCGATAGGTCACGCCAGAGCCAACCGTACAGACTCGCTATCGACAAAAGAGCGGAGCTGCGTACTGTCAGGTAGATCCCGGAGGGATCTCAGCGGTCTGGCATCATCGGCTTACGGGGAGGGCGAGAACTAGCCGTATGCGGCACGCAAAGGCGGATTTTTCGGGTCCTCCGTTACAACTAATATCTCACACTGCAGTACTTGGTGCAGTGGGTGGGCCACGCTTTGGACGATGCTACATGGGTGTCGCAGGCAGAGATGCTCAAATGTACCAGCTGGCCTTCACTACAGACCTGGACATACCCAATTACAGAGCAGATGGCTACGACGGGGTACTAGTACAGGCAACGCGGTCGCTCAGTCATTCTTTTGGAAGGAAAGAACTTCGCCTTCGTGTATCTACTAGTGTCACTGGCACTAGCGCTGCTCATGTCAGCCCAGCCGCTAGTCTCAACTCAGAGTCATTTACGTCCACAAGGCGTTGGACAGAACACGCCAGGCACGTTGTGCACTCCACGATGTACTTTGCACGGCGTGATGGTGAACCAGGACGGAGCGGCAACTAATCCTTGCAGGTACTCCACCACTGGGACTGCACACTGCGCACTACACAATGTGCTCGGTGCGTCAGTTAGTGCTTGCCACGATATGTGCAGTACACTGAGCTCCACACATTGTGGAGCATATAGCACGAAACCGGATCAAGGCAGACACGCTGTGCTAGGCTAACCCTGGTTCTCACTGTCCAGGAGCCTCTTCGCACTCGGGACTACTGAACCGAGGTTGTGGGGCCGGCGTTGCCTGCTCTTGCAAGATCTCGAAAGGTCCAGAATCTGGCAGGCACTTATAAGAGCCTGTGGTGCTGATTCGAAGATCTGCAGCGACATCATCTCTAGACTCTGCTCGCTTATCTTGGAGAAGTTCTTACTAGAGAGCGCTGAGTCAGTCTGAAGGAAATCCTCGGGGACGTGCCGCACTTACACAGCGGCCTCTGTTGGTCCCTCTACGTAGACCATGAGGAAGAACACGGACGGTTTTGCGAGTCGGCGCCAGCGACGGGCCACACGTTTCGTCTCCAAGACGACCGACCTACTTGTCTGGAATGCAGATATGCAGAGGTCAATTGCTATACTGGCGTTGTGCCGAGTGGTGCCTATGCCGTTCCGCCTGTATAATTTGTCTTTCCTTCTGTCAGCCTTGACAATATCTTCAATCGTATCGAAGAGGTCGAGCAAGCGAATGTACGCCATGCGGGCCACGATGAAAGAGGGGGGGGTATGAATGAGACGGTACAGCGAGCGGAGAGCATCTAGAATAGAAGGGTCGGAACTGTGGATATTGGCTGGCAGCATCGTGCACTCCACGAGCTGGTTCCATTGTTGCGATACTTCTGTACAGTTAGCCAAAATATGCTGAGCGAAGTCTTCTCGTACCAGGCTCGCCGCAAGGTCCTGGCCCAGAGGATCTTCATGATTCGTAGCGGTAGCAGCCATTGCAACTGCGCCGGTGTCACAGCTGCTGTTCTCTGGTTCAGGTTGACGAGTCTGCTGCTTTATATATTTGTGTTTAGGATGTGCTCTTATGTTTGCAGAGAGCCTTGAGATTATTTTCAGCAGCTGAAATCAACTTGGGCTCTGTTTCTCCGCCCATTTCAGTCTTTTTTCGAGCGTTGCGAGGTCCCAATCGACCCGCCTGGCTATTTTCCGAATGCATGCATGGGTTAAAATGAGGGACCTCTAGTGGGGCAGCTGCGGGGTGCATAGGGCAGTAGTCGTCGAAAGAGCTTTAGAGTCAGCATCGAAGCTGCAGAGTATATAGTACGATACTTGTCGATTGCAAATCTCCGTCCCATCTTACACAGCCCCTGATTCCAGAAGTGCCGAATACATTCTTTACAACGATGACCAATTACAGACTGCAGCGAGCTAGCACTTCGTGTGCTTGTGCTTTTACGTCTCGAGAGCTCCGCATTGAACAAATTCGAGATACTGACGACCTGATCGAGGTCTACCGCCAGCGTGCTGCTACTTCACAGCAGGCAGTAAAAGAGGCCTGGCAAATGGTCAGTGACTTGGCAAATTCCGTTACTATATTGACCAGTAAGATAGGGGTTATGGACGACTCGCTGAGACAAATGGAAAGGGTCTTACAGGCAGGCCTGCCATATCTAGACGGTCATTCAAAGCGTGGCTGAGATAATTTCCGAGATATATCACGTACACGAAGAGGCTTACATTATCGAAAGAGTCGTTGGGACATTAGAATAGTGAAGCCCTCCGTGAAAATACAAACCTTACATGTTCACCTTTACTATCAACGAATTTTGATTTGCCATTATGTGAATACATCTAGCGCTGCTCATAGATTGGCTTGTTGCTGTTGAAGGTAAGACTAGTTAATGATTAACAATACTCATAGACGGTCAGCATTACAGTGGCGACCACGATCAGTGTCCGTGAAATGCGACGACTCCGGCACGGACTCCTTTGACCCATATGGTTTCAGACTGTGCGTAGACTTCTTAGCACTATGCAACTCCATTGCGCTGAGAAGCTCGCGAGACACACCGTCGCGCATGCTCTCCTGCAGCCACACCGGCAACCCACGTACCATTGACGTCCAGCCCATGATGCTCGGGACGACGACCTGCGCGCCGTAGCCCGAGTAGATCTGGATGGTAGGGTTGCGTACGATCCCATGCACGACAATAGGAAGTGGCTCACAGCCAATGTAACACAGGTTCGATCTTTCACCTACTTCCTGGCGCCGCCAGTCTTGTGGGTGGATCCTACTATGGTACGTTCTGCTTTGAGACTATCCGCACCCTACTGCGCATGAACCGTATTGCAAGAGCTCTTAAACTGCCCGACGATACTCTAGCGCTCTCGTTCAGCTTCGGCTTCGCCGTCATCGAGTGGATCATGGAGCATGGCTATGTCGTTATGTTCTCGGGTGTTCTCTGCGGCGTGCTAGCGCTCGTAAACAACCTAGCATTCTTTGCCTTTTTAGGCTTCGACAAGCGTATGCGCGCCTGGTTGGCTCGGACAGATGCATAAGCGGAGTATCGGCTAAGGCGTACAATCACAGAATCGTAATGCACGCTACGTTGTCGCGATTTCATTCCGGAGTCGGGGTATTAGATCGATTGGGAGGATTAGTATAAAGGCAGTAAAGATATAAGAGTTTCACCAATGTGTGAGACGACGGCGGAGGAAAACTCTGGACTTAATCATGAAGAGAGAATCGACACTGGCACGTTATGGATGCCGCTATTGTCGCGCGTGTGTCTCTACTTCTGACCATAGCGAGTTCTGCAGAAACGGTCAACGCCTACCATACAAACACCTAACCTCTATTCTGATATGCCTAATGCTTCCTCTTCTGTCTGCCTGGCTGTCTGTCTGTCAAGTCAAGAACGGATTGCCTGCAACTCGGCGGTATACCAGCTCTGCAGAGCGCGGACATCATAACCTAAAGCTACCGTGTCAAACACTTCCAGATGTTGTTTCGCTGCAATCGCATTGTTGGAAAGGCGCCCGATCCATTTCCCATGTTTCCTTGCTGCAGCAACAACCTGGTCAATGGCAGCAACAAACTCTGGTTCGCTCCCCTGGGCCGGGACGTACCCTAGGATAGCCAGGCTGAGGTCATTGGGTCCGATGAAGACCATATCTAGGACATCCTCGACAGGTTAGTGCAATTCCAATGAGGAGATGCTTTGTATCACAATTTAATGAGTAGATCAACCAATCAACCAGCTGTTTGACATTGAGTCCGCGCCATGTGTGTAATACAACTTGGGAGCTAGATTATGACATGAACCGCCTCGCATCAAGGAAGGACATACCGATGCCAGGCACAGCACAGATCGAGTCGACATTCTCGACGCCCAGCCGCGACTCAATCTGGACGCAGGTCAACAGTGTCTGGTTGGCCGTCTTGATATACGTCGCAATGTCAGTTCCGTAAGCGAAGCCGGGGAACGCGGATCCCTGGCCCCGAATGCCGTGAGGTGGAAACTTGGCATGCTCCACGACGGCCCGGGCGTCGTCGGCTGTGTGGACCATGGGCACCACGATGCCGTGGGCCCCGGCGTCGAGCGCCCGCTTGATCAGGTCTGGATGTGCCATGCGCAGGCGGACGAGCGGCGAGACGCCCTGGGCGGCGATGGCGCTGACCGAGGCGTGCATCGCGTCGTCGCTGATGTGGCCGTGCTCGCAGTCGACGATGATGCCATCGAGACCAGTCGCCGCGACGAGCTGTGCGGTGCGAAACGACGGCAGGCCGAGAAATGTCATTACAGGCTTCGAGCCTGCTCGCAGAGCTTCGAGGAGTCGCAGGCGTGGGTTGCGGACAAGCGTCGTCAACGGGGACGGGAATGACATGGTTGTGGTGGTGATTATTGTTATTGTCGTTGTCGTTGTCGGGGACTGGCAAGAAAGGTGAAGTTGAAGATCACGGCAATAATTGAGATAATACTGCTCTCATAATTCCGAATGCAATGTTCACAAGTCTCAGGGCAAGGAACCCGACTCCTGGGGGGTTTGAACCTCGTTTCCATGTGGGCTCATGGGTGCCAGCTCATCGGTAACTCCGTCGGCGTCTTTTCCACCACGCCGAGGATTGGATTAATGGTGCAGGCCCGCAGCTGAGCGACGATTGACTAGCCGGGACGGCCCAAAGAAAAGCGCACCTGGCAGTTTTCGGCATGAGCAGATCCTGCCGAGCTCGAGACCGAAACGACTCTCGTTTATTGCAGCGCAACGTAGTGCTGGCAGATGGACGGTGCGACGAGCCATGAAGTATATAGTGCTCACTAAGTCCACAAATGCTCAGCCATACCATTGCCACGCTCGAGTAGCTCACGGCCGACGCACGTCCGAAGTAGTCAAAGACTGAATCACCATGGCCACTACACACCTCGAACGCCTTGGTGCGCTCGACACAAACACTGTCTCGGATGCCCTCGATTTCCTCAAGATCCAAGGCGCGACGTACGGCCTGCGCCCGCTATGGGACTGTCCCAAGATTGTCGGCCGGGCCAGCACGATCCAGCTGGGACCCTGGCGACCCGGCAGCTCGCCGACGACCCATCTCATCACGCCCGTCATCGACGCAGTGACCACCGATGACCGCGTGCTGGTCATCGCCGGCGGGGCCGAGGGCATCTCGGCGTGGGGCGACATCATCGCCAACGCGGCACGGGCTCGCAAGATCCGCGGCTCGGTGATTGATGGCATGAGCCGTGATATCGATGGCAGCCGCGACATTGGCTATCCCGTGTACGGCCGCGGCGTCACCATGGTCAGCGGCCGCAACCGGCACGTGCAACTGGACTCGGGAAGCGCCGTCGAGATGCGCGGCGTCACGGTCCACGAGGACGACTATGTCATCGCAGACAGCTGCGGCACCGTCTTCCTGCCAGCCGGCCGCATCGAAGAGGTGCTGGACCTGGCGGAAAGAATCGACCGCCGACAGCAGGGCATGGTGGACGAGGTTCGCTCCGGGCGGCCAGTGGCCGAGGTCATGCACGATAAGCAGTTCGAGGCCATCCGGGCCGACCAGCCCAGCGTCGCCGGTCCGGGCCCCAAAGCCAGTCTCCGGCAGGCAGCTCCCGAGGACGCAGAGCTCACGTGCCACTTCCTCGACCTTGACACCGCCGCAGTTTCTGATGCCATGGACAAACTGGGCATTCCCGGCCAGGCAGCCAACATCATGCCCCTGACGAACTACACAAGGAGACACGTCGGCACCGCATTTACCGTCCGCTACGTGCCTGCGAGCGATCCGGCAGGCAGTGTGGGCGACTTCATCGACGACGTGACCCCAGGGGACTTTGTCGTCATCGATAACCGCGGCCGGACCGACTGCACCGTCTGGGGCGACATCATGACCCAGTACGCCAGCCTGCGCGGAATCGCGGGCACCGTCATTGACGGCGTCTGTCGCGACGTCAGCTTCGCCCTGTCCAAGGACTATCCCCTCTTCACGGCTGGCCGCTGGATGCGCACTGGAAAGGATCGCGTTCAGGTCGGTGCCGTGAACGAGTCCATTGGCATTGGTGGTGTCCGCGTCGAGCCGCGCGACATTGTTGTAGCCGATGCGAATGGCGTCGTCTTTGTGCCGCGCCGCCGGGCGAAGGAGGTGGCCGCCGTCGCCAGGACTATCGATGAGGCAGAAGCCAAGATCAGGGAGATGATCCAAGCGGGCGTGACACTGCGGGCTGCACGAGAGAAGCTTGCATACCATACCTTGCAGCGAAAAGTTTGATAATAGATGGCGTAGCAAGTCCTTTTCCTGCAAACTTGTACACAGGTCATTTGATAGAGCAGCACAGGCATTCCAATGACTACGATTGCAAGGCATCCATTGACAAGTTTCATCGTGCCTGTTCTTTTCTGAATCGGGCTTCGCTTCAAGGCGAGCGAGTGGCATAGAAGTGGGAGCAGCATTCGCCATCACTCTACATGAGCAAGCGAGCCAAATTTGATGCCAAGTATGGAGCCCTGATCCCAAGTAGCTCCCCAGAACTAGTCAATCGAGGTTCAGACTCACGACGGTATTTGAGCGCCACCATCTCGAATCGGAAATTACCTAGTTAGCCCTCGGAACCGAGCCGCCCAGATCTGCACTTGCAGGAAGCATACCTCTTATTGCGCACCAGCCACCTTTCATCAAGTCAAGAGTGGTGATATGAGCAGGGTTTGGGCCAAGAGAAGAGCCGAGTCTACTTATGAGCTCGCTTTCATGCATCGGACCTTGGAGCAGAAGGGGCCGGAATCCTTCCAGTTCGATTAGCTCGGTGAAATAATTCTATGCCGACAATGTCTCAACAGAATGGAAACAAGAAAACCCCTAGTTCCCAGCTAGTCAGTCTCGGATGCAAAAGCATTAATCCAGTGGTGTGATTACAACTTGTACGCGGCGAGATGAGATTACACCGACAACGTCCTTCTCCACTTACACGAAGAAGGCTGAAATGGTTAGCCCTCAGGACGTACCCACTTTGGTTCGGCAACAGAGACATTTGGCCGACTCGGTCAGTTCGGTGTTTAGCACCATCCCCCGCCGGATCATAAGAAGGAAATAGATCAGTGTTTTGTCATATGGGACATTTAAATAATGCCCCCTTCTACTACATAGGCCACCCCAAATTGTTTGCCTTCTTTTGACCCAACGCCTTGTGATATTCACTGGACGTAGCCACCGCACCATGTCGCTCCTGGATGAGCTTCCAGTCGCACCGCCAGACCCGGCTTTCTCGCTCGTCGCTGCGTTCAAAGACGATACCTGCGAGGGAAAAGTGGATCTATGCCCAGGTTTCTATCGAGACGAGAATGCAAGGCCCTGGATCTTACCAGCTGTCCGACAGGTATGTCATGAGTCTGCAGTATACATGCTTTTTCTCCCCAGTACTGGGTATGCTGAATCACGCTACAGGCCAAGGAGCGACTACACGCCAAGACTGGCGACCACGAGTATCTCCCTCTCGCTGGCCTTCCCAGCTTACTACGCAGCTCGCAAAGACTGCTGTTCGGTGCTGAGCGGGATGTGAGCCGCCTTGCATCGCTGCAGACCGTTTCAGGCACGGGAGCCAATTACATCGCCGCTCAGTTCCTTTCCAGCAGACTCCAACCCAAGAGAGTGTGGATTCCGGATCCGACTTGGGTGAATCATCCAGAGATCTGGAAACTTGCCGGTCCAGAGGTTGAGCAGCGATATTACCCGTATTACGACAAGGAACGCCACCGGGTAGACCTTGACGGCATGAGAAACACACTGCAACAAGATGCACGGAGAGGAGACGTCATTATCCTCCATGCGTGTGCTCATAACCCGACAGGCGCAGACTTTACGACAGAGCAGTGGAGGAATGTCGCTGCTCTCTGCGAGGAGATTGGACTGTTCGCGGTCTTTGATGTGGCATAGTACGTGCCCTTGCGTAGAGTTGACTTTACGTGTGAGTCACGCTATGAGGACTAATTTCACTTTACTGTAGCCAAGGCTTTGCAACCGGTGACCTGGTCAACGATGTCTTTGGTATTACATACTTCTATGACAAACTCACCCTCGAATTCGCAGTAATGCAATCCTTCTCGAAGAACTTTGGACTATATGGAGAACGAATTGGAGTCCTCCACGTCGTTGCACGCGACGTCTCGACCGCCTCGAAACTAACGCCATTACTCACTCGACTGTCACGCGCCGAGATCACTTCTTGTCCTTCCTATGGCGCCAGGCTCGTCGTCGAGGTGCTCGAGGATCCTGCTCTGTATGAGCAATGGTTGAAAGACCTGAGAACGATGAGCGACCGCATCAAGGATATGCGAAAGGATCTCTATGATGGCCTCCAGCGCAGGAATGTACATGGATCTTGGGACCACATACTCACTGACGTAAGTCTGACCGCACTCAAACTTCCGCACTAATAGCTGATCACGGTTTCCTCCCAGATTGGGATGTTTTCCATGACTGGATTGTCCCCGGAACAGGTCGCTGAACTTAGGGAGAAACATCACGTTTATCTTCTCCCAAGCGGACGGCTATCCATGGCAGGATGTAAGAGAGAGTACAAATTCTACAATGCCTCGATGACATACTAAAAAATTGTTCATTGCAGTAACCAAGCAGAACTTGGAGACGGTGGTTTCTGCGATTCATGATATCCTTGGCTCCGTCTAGCAGAATTTGCCACGACAAGGTAGATCGAGGAAATGGGCACTAGAGGGTACTGGATATGTCACTTCGTAGTAGAACGAACTCATGATACGTCGTGCAAGCTCGTTGTGGATTCATTTCAATACAGGTGGCTTCATTCAGCAGCTTAAAGAGACGCCGCGTTTAGTAGAGCTGTGGACAAAGAGCACATGTGCTTCCTTTCCCTTGAATCTCACTCGCCCCTTTTCCAATGCTCTTGATGCTTGCTTTTGTATCAATGAACTGGTTTCTGGCCGAATCTTACCACTCAACCGTGGAGTTTGTGGCTCCGCGTTGTTTCGGTATGGCATGAGAGCTGCAATGTATGGCAATGTATAGTTGTTACCCTATTGATATTGACGCTATCTGTCGTGTTTCACAAATGCTTCTATCCTATCCCACATCGCGACTGGGTTAGAGTACATTGGGAAATGCCCCGCACGTGGGATCTCTGCCAACTCAACACCACTGCTCTTCAGGACTGGCAGATACGACAGGGTCGAATGCTGCTCTCCATACATGAACATTTTTGGAAAGGGCAGCGCGAGGAATTTCCCCTGGAGATCGTCGTTGTCCGACAGCTGCACCATGGACTCGAGGATGCCCCTGATCGCGCCCACCTGGACGCGTTCCCGGAGCCCAGCGGCATACAATGGGGCCGAGTAGAAAGGGGCCTGCCGCGTAGCCGAGATGAAGCCCTCCAAGAACTCGTCTGCCTTGTCGACCGGGAAGTCCATGACTTGCCGGGAGATGAAGCAGTCCTCCGGGCCTAGGTTACCCTTGATATCGATGAAGCTACAGACGGCCGACGGGTTTCTGTGAGCGAGCTGGAGCGCGGTCAAGCCCCCCATCGAGTGGCCGACCAAATGGAATCTCTTGATGTTGAAGTGCTGTAAAACGGCTTCGGCGGTCTTGCACAGGAAGCCGATGTTGACCTGGGCGAGGTCGCTGCATCGCGTGTCGCCGCATCCTGGGGCATCGTAAGCAATGAATGGGCGATCGGCGAAGTCGGGCAGCAGCTGGATGTCTGTGTAGTCTTCCTTACAGCTGCCCCATCCATGGAGGAATAGGATGGGAACCGCCTCGCCGCCTCGTCGGACAACGGCAAGGTCGATCGATGTCCCATCTACGACAAGATGAAGACGTTCATGGTGAGTGTCTGACTCCAGAGTTTGCGTCGAGGAAGCTGTCATGTTTCTCCGACTGGTCAGTTGTTTGTTTGTCTTGAAGGTGGTATGTCGGGATGTTGAGTTTGACGGGGAACAGCAGAGTTGATTTTTGAGTTTAGGGAACTGTCGTGAAAGACTTCCTTTTTATCATTAGCTGGCAAAGGCCGCCAGCCACAGGCTCTAGTGGCAGCGAATCACGGTGCCGAAGGTGAGTCATGTCTGGTAGCCCCCTCTCGGCAAGTTGGAAATCTTGCCGAGACAAGGTGGCAGGCTTGCGCCTCCGATATTTAGAATTTATGCGGTGATTGTCAATCTCCAGCCTGCCCTCCTCAATCAGTGGTCGGTCCGATGAGAATATAATAATGGCTTTTCCTTTGTTTGCGGATCATGCGCGAAGTGGCGGCAGCAGCTCGCCCGCCGCCCCCACCATCCTGTGCGAATTAGTGAAGGGTGAAGACCACCTTCTGGGGGTTCTGAGCTTTGGGAGCCTTGTTCACGATGTAGCCAAGATACAACGAGCTTGAGGCATCAGAGCGCTGACTGCAACCCCCAAGTCAGCTTTGATGATTCTATTACTCAGTTTTGCAGAACTCCAAAGTATGTTGGCATTCTGTTCTCTCCTGATCTAGTAGTGTCCGTTACCTTCTGTCTTATCTATGCAAACTACCTCAGGAACAACTTGTTGACATGGATGGACTGTAGCCTGCGATGCTTGCGCATATGGCATGCAGAGCCTACGGAAGTCCTCATCATATCTGAAACGTCCACTCACTTTGCTTATCACGAATTGAGGATTCACCCCTCAAAAAAGTCCTTCTACTTCCTTGCGTGCCGTGGCACACACATCCAGGAACTCATCGTCCGATAGCATCCTCCGCGAAGTGTACTTCGCCCGCAGGACCTCCTCCACGAGCTTCTGCAAACCAACGGCTGGGTCCATGGGGGATATCTCCCACTTCTCGCCGTCTCGCACGTTGTAAAGCACCACATTCGGCACGGTATCCCCGTGATTGGCTTGCTCTGTCGTGAGCTGGCTTACAAATTTGATCTCCCACAACGTCACCTCCTGGTGAGGGTCACTGCCGTCAATGGAATCTGCTAGATGCTTTTGGACTATGTCGACCTGGCCATGAATCGTCGTAGACTGGGCCTGATTGGCTTCGTCCTGGCTACCATCAACATATACCGACAACGTTGCATTAAGCTCGTGCTCAAAGTCCAAAGCCGCCGGGGTGGCGGACGGGAACTGGTCCCGTAACCGAGCACAACCCACTGCGAGGTGATGCTCCAGCCAGTCAAACTTGTGACCGCGCATTTGCGGGAGTCGAGAGCGATAAGTCGAAAGCTTCGACAGATAGCGACAAGCCTCGCGGCAGAGCCACAATGTCCTCCTGCGCCCCTCCTTGGGCACTTTCGACAGAATGGAAGCTCTCTCATGATGCCCCAGCGTCGTCAGCGTTCGGCAGACCTCGAACTCGTATGCTGCGACAACAGCTATGCCGTTGATGTCGCTTACCGCTTCAAAATGGCGTCGCACTGGGTCTATGAGGGCCACATCTGGGGCGTTGATGTGTTCGGAGAAGGGTAGCGCGGGTGCCCGCGTGGTGATTATAGCATGTCTGGCCACAATGGCATCAAGTGTCTCGTCGGAGACGTGTCGCGCAATGCTAGACGCCGCGACTCTATTCGGGAGGTGCACTCCCTCCTTCGTCGTCTTTGCTGGAGCTCTCGTCTTGAAAGATGACGCCGTTTCCGGTTCGAGGAACTGGTGATTCGCAGTCCTGCGGAGTTGTGGCACATCCAAAAACGGCATTATCTCACGTGCGGCGTTGTGGATTGCGACCAGCTGCTTCGAAGACCGAGTGAGCGCCACGAATATGTTATTGGGATATGTATCGTCGGGCTGATTTGCAGCCATCTCGAAGTAGTAGTCGTCGAGGCCGTACAGAATCACCAGGTCGCGCTCACTCCCCTTGAACTGGTGGATAGTCGACACACAGATCTTGCCACGAACGACGGAATCGTCCAGAGCCACGTTATCCGACACTGGTTCGGCAACGGGCATGTTCCACTTCCCGGTCAGGCAAATCGTCAAGCTCGATATGGCTCGGTTCTTACTGACAGAGGGGCCAAGGATGGCCGTGCGCTCGACTCCGTGTTTGCGAATGAGGGGCTCCAAGTGTGCGGCCAGAAGGTCTCCTTTGAAAGGATTGACGTGGATATAGAAAGGTTCGGTGCCGTCGTGCGAGCCTACGATGTAGTCTTCATGCAAAAAGGCCTTGTTGATGAACCTTGCGTTCTGATGCGACAGACGGAAACTCTTGTTGAGCGTTCATACGGTCCCAAGGGTCTGGCGATAGGCCGGTTATGATGGCAGGACTGTCTCTCAAAAATCGTGCGCCTGTCCCCTCGGAACTCGTATATGGCCTGTCTCTCATCCCCGAGAACGACGATACGTGGTGCCCGACCACTATTACGTGTAATGCGGCGGATAAAGACGGGGACCAGCCAGAACAACAGCTCCGTGCAGTCTTGCATCTCATCCAGAATGACGATATCATAAGGCCTTTCAGTCCACATGGGCCGAGCGCGAGAACGACGAAGTCCGGTCAAGATGCCGTCATTGTGCACCACCGAAGGGAACAACTTGCCCGCCATGCGGTGAAAGGTGTAGACATCGCAGTTGTTGTATTTTCGCAAGCGGTCGGCTGTCTCTGACTGTAGGCGCTTCGGGTAAGTCAGCACCGCCACAGACTTGTCCGGGTTTGACGAGACGATGGCTTCCGCCGTTGTCTCCTATCTGTACGTAGATACAACAGTGATGATAGCACGCTACGTCGCGACCGCTCTGCTTTGTAAGATGGTGCTTGCAGTTGAGCTTGGTTGTGCTTGAGCAAGAGCCACGGGAGGAAGTTTTTGGTTAGGGCAGAGCACGAAAGGCGCGATGGGTGTCTACGTGGGAGAGCATGCGGGAGAGAGTTGTCCATGTCTTCCGTCGCATCGAGGGTCGAAAACATGGCGAAGCAGCTCGTAAGGTTTTCCCATGGGTCGCAACAGCAAAACGGCCGCTATCGCTTGGAGAATTGCGCGAAGCGATTGCTATTGAAGTTGGACAGGAATATAGCGAGCCAGCTCGCCTATACAATGACATAGGGAAGGCTACTTCATGGTGCGAAAACCTGATCCAAGTTGACGAGGAGTGTCAAGTCGTGCAATTTGCACACTCATCTGTAAGGGACTTCCTCTTGCAAGATCCTCAACCCGGCGATACAGCAGCTTTCCATGTACGTCTCGGTGATGCTGACCACAGACTTCGCGAGATCTGTGTAACGTATCTCAACTTCAGCGACTTCAAGAGTACTATCGCAGTACGACCGAAACCTCTACTAGTAGATCCATCGAACATCAGGCATGGGCTTTTCAAGCCGGGGTCAAGGCGCGCTGCTCTGGCAACACAGTTCCTCCCCATAAGCAGTACAGGAGCGCTCGATATGCGATCCACTGCGGCGTTTCGCCTACAAGACGCTCGATCGACAATTACAACTTTGGAGGGTGGCCACCCATTCCTAAAGTATGCGCAAGTCCACTGGATAACACATACACAATCTTTCTCGGAAGGGATATCGAAGACGTGGCACGAGTGGAAAACTATGGTTATCCACAGCCACGCCATCGCACAGAAGCCTTGGGATGATGGTGAGGACGCCATATGGGATTGGGCATTTCAAAGTCGCCATTTTGCCTTGATTCGGCTTCTACTTCGAATCAGCACATTCTCGAGTCTTGCAGCAGGGCCCCCTTGGCCCGGTCGCCTGTACGAAGCAACGACACAAAATGACTCACAGCTCATGGATACATTACTTGAGGCTTCATGGCCTTTGGGGATTTTAAATACGGCCTTGCACATTGCTTCCTCTGGTGGAAAGCTTAGTATGGTCGAGAGACTGCTAGATGCGAAGGCTGAGGTCAACGCAGCGCCGTATGGTTCTCATGCACGAACAGCTCTACAGGCCGCAGCAGGAGGCGGTCACCTCGACGTAGTCGAGAGACTACTACAAGCAAAGGCCGAGGTCAACGCAGAGCCGGCATATCTCGGTGGACAGACAGCTCTACAGGCCGCAGCAGGAGGCGGTCACACCGATGTCGTTCATCGATTGAAGCGTGCGGGCGCACGCTAAGTAAACAAGTGATGGTTATGGTAGGCGTGACATTGACATTTCAGCTTTCGATCGGTATAAACTCGAATAAAATGCTGTTCCTCCCTGGCGGGTTGTACTTATTCCCTGCAAATATCTGCAAACCCCATAGCTAATAGGTGAGCAATTCCGCAATCCCGCGTCCTTGGCCCGGCGTCAAAGTGCGCATAGCTCGCATTATGTGATGTGTCGAACCCAACGGGCCATTCAGGATACGTTGCGACACTCGTTTGGAAGCCATAGTGCCGAGAAGCTGGGTACCGCCCGCAGTCGACCTTTCGGATTAAATCTTCTGTTGAGTCTTGTGTCAAGGAAGCGGGTTAGTGAAAAGCAAATGCCTTCCGGGGAAGTACATCTTGGCTCGATACCCTGGCTGGCCCTACCTACTTGGCGGCGTTAGCATTGGTAGCGCTGGTGATGCTGTCGTTATGACCATACAACCATCGTTACTACTCCTACTATTACTAACAATATTACGGCGAGTACCACCACTGCGAAGGTGAAAAGCTGGAGGGATGAACAGGATCAGTTTCCAGAGGACACTTCCTTGCGGCGCCGGGAACTCACTGTTGCAATGATCGCAAACCAGTTATCCCAGCCACGAAAGTACGGCGGGCCCTGAGGGCGCGACTTCTTCCGGGTTTTGAGCCGCAAAATCAAGACTAGGATGTTGATAGAGAAAAGCAAGATGCCAATGATGACACAGACGAGAGCCGTCTTGTTCATCTTCAATGGTTCAGGCATGACCAATCTTGAAGCTCGGGGGCCCTTTAAGTCTGTTTAACCATGGCCAAGTCCCGTTATGCACAGGTCAGCAGCCAGTGGATCTCCGCTGAAAGGGCTCTGCGTCAATCCTCTCGTCACCCCTGTTGCTCCTTGAGACATAGTAACAGCTTCATGCGCTGCAGAGAATACCCTTATCTTTGTGCATGTACTTCCAGCTCCCGTACACTTTTCGTTCCGCCACGGAATAGGTCCCTGCAGTCCTGAACTAGCGATCCCGCCTTGTAGCTCGTTAAGGAAACTCGCGCCAAGAGCTGATTAAGGACTTCATCAGCTCCCCAACTCCTAAAGATTCTCCTTTTCTTTGGATGCCATAGCGGTGTAGAATCTAGCTAAAACCAGGGACACCTTGGTGTTGTTTGTGGAAGGCGTTTGCTATAAGGTATTTAATTGTCGAAGTATCGCCTATATGTCTTCGTGTCTGATGATTTCGGCATGTACAGTTCTGTGGCTGAGTGTCTGTGCCAGAACAGGTCCGTCTCGCAACGTCCTAGGTCTTGTTCTCGGTCAAGCATCAATCACGAACTGCCGCGGCTTGTCCCTATGGTAGAGACTTGATTACCGAATTATCTGCAGTGTTTCATACACTCTCTGCCGACTTTGTCTTCTGCGGTACTCAGGACCGACGGCGGAGAAGCAACGTCTCTAAAGGATGCACCTTGGTCATGTGTGCGAGACATCGCGAACGGCACAGCATAAGCTGCTGCCCGCGCTTGGCTTCAAAGATAAATCCGGGGCGTAACTTGTCTCATATCGATGTCTAGATGTGTCTGGATGCAATGCCTTTCTGCAAGGTACGTAGAAATGGTTGCCTTATTATTGCTCTTGCTTTCCAATGCGTCGAGGATCTGTCGAGCAGTTCTTATTAGGATTTAACGGTAGGAGCAGGCAGCCAGCAACTCCGAAAAGGGTAAGCTTTACGGATAAGTATGTTAGTCTATATTTCATGTCATGGTGGTTATGAATATAAGCAGTTCTTGCCCTACAAGACTGACCTCGCGCGATGATGGGCCCCGAAAGACAAGTGTGACCCGTCGAAGATTAATTAGAAGCGGCTTAGACGTCTGCATAGCTCTACCTTAACATTATGGCCCGCCCCAACTTCGAAAGATTGACTAGCTATTCTATTCTCGCTTAGCTAGTTGAGACTGGAATAGAGTTCGTGTCTTTGAACGCAGACACATACAAACGTACACGGACATCCGTGCTCGGTGCACTGGCCTGGAGGTACATCCCGTCGACGAAGGCGTAGTAATGGACAGAAGTGGTCTCATGTTGCGGCCGAAGCGCATCTGATTGGGTGCTATGCTGACTCAACTGCATTATTTGCATGTAGGCCCCCCCTCATCCGATTTTCAGCGCTTCCAATGTCACTGTAGCCTAGCAATAAACTTAGTGAGATTATATCTTGATAACATGAACCGATATCGTTCATAAATAACGTCCTTCATGGCGTCATAGGATTACAGAACAATATAGACTCTGCCATATTAACGGTCTATACTTTAAAAGGAACGCTAGACTTCGGGAAGGAAGACATCCTGTCTATATTGGTCTCTCCAAAATGATAAAACAGTCGACATACGCACAGTCGCTCCTCTCTAGCCCGGTATTCGTCGCGGGCATAACAGCAAACGCGATGGCGATGACGTCCTTGGCTACAACTCGAAGAGAAACCTGTCCAGCATCATACTGCCCCGCCAAGCCTCAATTTCTGCCCACAATCATTAGTGAAGGAACATGCCCGGCTGACTGGATCTTGGGCGACGAGGTCCCTGATTGGGCTGTACAGCAACACGGCTGGTATCCTACCATCAAGATGACCTCATTGGAGAAGGCCTCCGCCGAATGTCTGGATCGGTCGACAGCCGGATACAATCTGATGAAAGGATTAGAAGAAGCAGAACGAATAACGCAGGCTGTGAATGTGAGTCTATTAGGCTGGCATGGAGCTCTATTTGTGGCTTTTACCGAGTGGTGGCGTCTATGTAGATCTCCGTTGAAAGTAAGGGTAGGCCGACCCGTTAGTGGAAAGCGACCTGCTCTCTTGACATCACCTGAGGTATGGCGGATGGCCGAGTACCTCTATTCCCAAGGGTCAGAATCAAATCACACATGGATGAATGGAACGGACGATACACTCCGAACTATCGCGACCCGTGTTGGCTGCGATGGCTTGCAAGAAGGAAGTGCATACCTAGGGAGGCTAAAGGCCCCTGCTTTATTTCATTTACTGGATGCACACTGTACGTATGACCAGTGGCTTTTCGGCAGTATATTACACAGCCTTAATACAATCAGGTGGATTGCGTGCACATCGAGATGGCCTGATATAAAACATAAAGCAGGCGAAATGAAAGAGCAATTGCGCAAATTTGGCCACAAGATGGACACATCAGTCAACTTCACGTAGACGGAAATGTAAAGGGTAATTGGAAGAAGCGCTGCTTGTGAATCGTCGTTATGGGTGTGATTATGCGGGGTCTTTTGTGGGACGCCCGATATTGTAGGGAGTTTTCTCGGTCACGTCAATTCGTACTATAGATAGTGGGAGACTTTGTTAATTCAAGTGTCTGAGCTTGATCCGCAGTGGTTCTTTGGCTCGATGTCCAATCCTGCACTTAATAATCTGCAAGGTGCCCACGCCTCACGGAGATAAAGCTGGTTCAAGTTCACCGGATTTGCCCCCTACTGCTCGATAGTTTATGTAGTTCCTCGCCTACCCTCCATTCCGTCCACTTTTCTGACTGCCTCTCGTCTAACGAATAAAAGGACTACCATAACGTAATCCACAAGCAAGCGGGCCACACAAGCAAGCGGGCCACTTTCCCGCGATTTTAGACAGGCTCCCCTTTTCCTTAATTTTCTCCACCAATAATTATGGTACGACAATTAATTGAAAGTGATTTAATCCTAGCGATCCAGGCGCTCCAGTCTAACCTAAAATTAACTGTACGAAAGGCTGCAGAGCTGTACAATGTACCGCGTACGACCCTCCAACGAAGACGAGCCGGCCGACCTGCCAAACGCGATCTCCGACCACATAACCAGAATTTGACCTCGTACGAAGAGGACAGCGTCGTACGATATATAATCGACCTAGATTCGCGATCGTTTCCGCCGCGCTTAAGTGGTGTTCGCTTAAGTGGTGTTCGAGAAATGGCGGATCGACTCCTCCGCGAACGCGACGCGCCACGCGTCGGAACGAACTGGGCTGCAAACTTCGTATGACGACGATCTGAGCTCCGTACGCGTTTTAATCGAAGAATCGACTACCAGAGAGTCCTCTACGAGGATCCGGACGCGTATCGCGCGTAGTTTTCGCTCGTACGAAACATAATCGCGAAATACGGGATCCACAATGACGACATCTATAACTTCGACGAAACGGGCTTCGCGATAGGTAAGATCTCCGCCGAAACTAGTGTTACAACCTCCGATCGACGCGGGAGGCTAAGAGCCGTATAATAAGGTAATCAGGAATAGGTTATAGTAATCTAGGGCATCGCGTCGTATAGCTATTCGATCCCACTATATATTATCTTCGCGGGGAAGGTCCATCTCAACCCCTAGACCGCGAGTAGCCCTCTACTGCCCGACTAGGTAATCACGCTTTCAGAGAACGGTTAGATAACGAACGAGAGAGGTCTAGAATAGGTAAAACACTTCGATTTCCATACGAAGAGTTATATAAAGGGAACCCACCGCCTCCTTATCCTCGACGGCCACGAGAGCTACCATTCCGTCAATTTCGAGCTCTACTATAAGGAGCAGAATATTATGACGCTCTATATACCTACCCATTTATTATATAAGCTCCAGCCTCTCGATATTAGGTACTTTAGCCCTCTCAAACGGGCGTACGGTAAAGAAATCGAGGGTCTTATACGGGCGTATATTACCCATATCTCGAAGGAGGACTTCCTCCCAGCCTTTTATAAGGCGTACGACGCTACGATAATAAAGTTAAACATCCAGGTAGGCTTCAGCGCAACTAGCCTAGTACCGTACGACCCGAATTATGTGATTTCGCAGCTAGATATAAAGTTTCGTACGCCGACACCGCCAGGTTCCTCTACTGGACTACCACCCCCTTGGGTTTCGAAGACGCCGAATAACCCAATTAAGGCCGAATCGCAGACGGAGTATATTAAAAGTCATATCGTACAACACCAGAATAGCTCTCCGTCGTCCATTATTAAGAGCCTACGGCAGCTAAATAAAGGAATCATAATAATAGTACACGAGCAGACCCTTATACGCCATAACCTCGCCGAACTTCGAGATATAAACGACCGCCTTAGCCGCCGTTATCGTACGAAAAGAAAACAGCTATAGAAAGGAGGGTCCCTAATAATTAATCAGGTAAAGGATTTAAAGGCTCAAATCGATACGACGTAGCAGTTAAGGGCGGAAACGAGTCAGAATAGTGGTCGTACGAGGAGGCTAGAAACACGCGCGCGACGATGTGGTGCCTGCGGCGAGCCTGGCCATAATGCTCATACGTGTCAGATAGTTATATCTGCCTCTGAAGAAGAGGATTCCTCATAGTTTCAATTAATTTTAGGCGTTCTGGTTGTATTCTCTTACACATTATCGTACGAGTGCCTGGAGGGTGGCCCGCTTGCTTGTGTGGCCCGCTTGCTTGTGTGGCCCGCTTGCTTGTGTGGCCCGCTTGCTTGTGGATTACGTTATATGTCTGAATATAGTGAACATACAATCAAGTCTTGCACTACTTGCCTATTGGATCTGCTGCTTGACTCCTTTTGCACCTGTCTTCAAGTAGTCTTTGATTATGAGGTCAGTAGCTAGTGGCAGGATGTGTTGATTGATTGTCGGCGGCTGCTTGAAAGCGAGGCCCGTTTTGTGCAGCAGGATTATCACGTTTGGTGCAATCTTCAGCTGCTGTAGCACCGAAGGTTTTTTCCACCTTGTCGCCCTCAAGGACAAAGCCGACAGCCTCGAACTTCATCAGTGCGCTACAAATCAGGGACAGCAGGCCGGCGGCAAAGACTATCCAGAAGAGGCGGACGACAACGGTCGTGAGGGCTTCGACAATGGCTGGGCCCGGAGCCGGGTTATCGCGGGTCCGGTCGAACAGATCCGACTTGATCCCAGTGAGCAGCTCGAGGCACTCGTGGTCGGTGAGCGTCTCGCCGGCACGCTCGGCGGCGTGCTGGATAAGCTGGCGGCCGACTTTTTGATAGACGGCACCAGCTATAGCCAGCACAACAGCGACGCCGCCAAGCTGAGACAGATTGTACAGCATAGCGGCGTCAAAGTGCATCTCTGTAGGCAAGAGTACTGAGGCGATGGGCATGCCGAGCGACCAGATGAGGCCGCAGCCTAAGCCAATGATTGCTTCGAAGCCTAGGATAGGCGACTCAGAGGTGTCTGGGAGTACGAGCTGCCACAGGCCACTACCGATGACCAACAGCAATGAGCCCGAGACGAAAAAAACCATATAGTAGCGGACTATGGGCAGCAGACCAGCTGCGATGAAGATCATGATGATGAAAGGACCGATGAATGGCAGCAGGCGGACGGCGGCTGAGACGGGGGTCTCGCCGCGTGTGAAGGCAAAGTATAGTGGCGTGTAGTATAGTGTGACGCCATAACTCATGGCAGCGCAGATACTGCAAATCGTGACGAGCAAGACAACGGGTCTGGTGGTGAGAACCGTGATGGGCAGGATGCGGCGCTCCGGGGTGGTCCCCAAGCTAAAGGTCTGCTGGACGACATAGGCGACGAATACTAGTCCAAAGACCACATAGATAGCGATAGACGACCCGGAGCCCCATGGCCACGTGGTACCACCACCGATGCAGGCGAAGCCCAGCAGGGCGAGCGTGGCCATGTGCAGAACGCAGCCGAGCCAGTCAATCTCGCGCAGCTGCGCCACCGCCATTGACTTGGAATTGGGTATCCTGTAGCGTGGATAGGCAGCGATGTTGATGACGAGAGCCACGGCGCCCATGACGACAACAATGTAGAACGCCCAGCGCCACGTAGTATGCGCATTCTCGGTAAAGGCGCCGCCGATAAGGGGACCCGTGAGCAGGCCGACGGCAAAGCAAGCCCCGACCATGGCTTGCACAAGGGCGAGCTCGAGGGGCAATGCAAAGACAACATTGTACGTTAGAATCAACTGATATGAGAGGGCACCGCCAGTGCCCAGCATCGCGCGGCCGACAATGACGACTTTGATGCTCGGGGCAGCGCCAATCAGCGCGGCAGAAACCATCACTAACACCACCGCGATAATGTACAGCATCTTCAGCTCGAAAATGCGCGTGAGCTCGCGAAACAGCGGGATGCACGCCGCATTGACAAGTGAATACGCCAGGGATACCCAAGGCAGTACCTCAATCTGCCCAAAGGCCTCGTAGATGGCTACCTGCGTATTGGAGACGTTCAACACATCATAGCCTAGAAGCATGGAAGATAGCAAGATACCGTTAGTCAATTAGCAAAACGGTTGGGCCGTCTGGCGATCGCGTAAAATTAGAAATGAGAAACGAAAACCTACCACTAATGGCAGAGAGAAGGGCTGTCGCAAGCAGCATTAACTTCCACTTGTAGGCCGGCAGTTCCTCTCGGGGGTGACCAGGAGGAATGATATTGGCTGAGGTCAGCGGCTTCAGGGCCACTCGCATCTTCTTATGCATGCTCATCGTGCACTGCTCGCAAGCAAGATGTGGCTAGTGTTCGTGGCAGTGCTGTCAGGTATCTGTTGGAATGAACGCTCGCCAGCAGTCCTCCAGGCAGACGGGGAAGTTTTGGCGTCGGTTTAAATGGGATCTCGCAGGATCCATTTCTAACACACTCTTAGGTAGAAGGCTTATCGCCAGCAGACCGTGTCTTCGAATGTTTACATCTTCGAGTATGACACGCAAACGCTCAGTGGGGCAACAAACGATAACGACTCAGGTCCACCGGTCGACAATCCGATCCTCTGCTAGGGGGAACATAGCAGTCTGTCAAGTTTTGCCATGCATGAGGTTTCCAGACATGGCCAATATGCACTATACCACCAGAGAGTCTGCATATCTATCCAATGGCTCGTCCTTGGAAAGGTAGTTACTGTAGTACCTTTTTGCAAGTCAATAACGTTCATAGGAAAGCAGTGCTTTATTTATCTCGGATCATATCGTGCTGGGAAGCCGGGAGTTCGTTCCCTAGTATGCGCTTACTCCTAATTGTCCTCCAGGAGCCGTCGATTATGGTATACTGTTAGTACTATACAGTAGTATCTCATTGCAAGCATGGGCGCCTCTATCTTTCGGTCCGATGGAGTGGAGAGAGCAAACAGATCGGCTTAATCACGATAAGAGGATGCCTCTGGCATGTGATGGTAGTGGTTCTAGCAATGGCGTGGGCAGTCGTCCTTATCACGACTCCATACGTGTAATCGGAAGAGTCCGACACTTCGTAGCATTCACCCAGCCTAGTACCCTTCTCTTGTTTGATCCTTATGATCTTATGAGAGAACAGGGTAGTCTAGTAACCCTGGGCCCTCCGTTTGACCCGCCTACTAATAGTTTACTCGGAATATACCTATCGACCGTGTGCAAGACTCATTCAAGGAGAGCGTCTTGGTTGGACATTATTAACAGCTTCAAGAGAGCTTATTGATGCGAAGGCTAGAACGGGAATGCATTTATAGGAAATCGAAGGCTACAACATTGTCGGCACCTGTATGAAATACAGCTGTGATATAGCAGGAGCTGTGGGTACCTCTTCCCAATTTTACGGCTTTTGCCCTGGCATCACGTAGTCATAAATGCAGTTATGTTTGCGAGCTTAGAATCTTTCAAATAATATCACGATCATTTAGAGGTGAAAGGAGAGCTCCAGCCTTCTACGGAGAGAAACATGATACTCTGCGGCAAGGATTATCATCCGCAAGGCATCCGACAGAGAGTATCAAACAAGATTTTCCACCGAGATATGCCGATCGCGACCTCGTGCCAATTTGATTTATCTACGCCGCTGTATATCTCGGCTAAGATCCCGCCGATAGTAACCTTGCCATGATTGCAAGCTGTGTCGGGGTGTCCAAGGGCGCAATCATCATTGGGATGGGCAAGGCCTCTTTCTCTCGCCTGGTCAACGATCGCAGGGTGGATGGAAACACCCTCGGACAGCCGCGCCTTCGTTTTGCCACTGACGACGCTGTGAATTGCAATGACGCCGATGTCTACGGGCCTCTCCCTACCTTCGCGTCTGATGAAGTTCTCGATGGATATAACCAGCACCTCCCCGACCTTGTTGTTCTGAATAAATCTGAGCACCTCCATGCTGTTGGACATTTCGGTGATGGCATTCTTGATTCGATTTTGTGCGCCTTCTTGTCCTGCGTGGTCGTAAGGCTGTTCGCCGACACCACTGGCTACACCTTCGAGCTTCTTTACGAACACTGTATATCCATTCGCTTCAGGATACTCAGCATTAACGTGATTTTCGGCCAGCAGTTTCTTCTTTTCGGCGCCGCTCGGGACTATGACTAAAATGTTCTTCTTTTTTCCACGAGCCAGGAGATACTTGAAAGCCGGTGCTGGTGGAGACTGGATGTCTACGACTGAAGGGTATATCGGAACTAGCTTCTCGGTGCCCTTGAAGTCCTCCGCAGTTTTTTGAACCAGGATGGAGGGCATTCTGGGAGACTTGTGTCTTCGCGGGTGTCGTAGTTCACATGAAAGGGTGCCTGGTACAAGTCAGTTATTAAAGTTCCTAGATTCAAAGAACAAGGAACAGCTTTATATTATACTAGAGGCTATACAGTAGCACCGCACTTGCCTCCGAACAGGTCCCGGTGGTAGCGCAAACTATGGAGCACCTATATCGCGAGGAAATCTTCGATCCAGAAAGGATTGTTCCTCAGCCTTCGCACAACAAAACGGAGGACCACCGCAATGGTGGCTAATGCCCAGGTCGCGGCGAGGGCGCCTGTCATCTCTGAAACCCTGGACTCGTTCAGATCCAGGTCAGCGGGGGGCGGAGGGAGAGACATTGTCGAGATGGAGTATACGCCGTGCGGTCATGTCCTTGAACCTCTGGTGCGGCCTCCGTCTTCATATGTAAGTCTGCCCCCCTGTCACGATCCTGCCTCCGGGGTCAACCGTCTGGCAGGGCGCTGGGGTTGCTGTTCTGCAAGATAGGTAAAGCCTGTGCGATAACAACTAACACTCTGCTGTCGTTCTCTCTTTGGGGTTGTCGTGTCTCTTGGAAGAGATACCAGTCTCGGCAATTGAGTGACTAGTTCAAGTGTGTGGTGAAACTGATACTTAGATTGATCGCTGAAGTGCAAAGGTAATGACTGTCTATCTAGGAAATCCTCCTGAACATATACTCCTTAAAAATTTAATAGGAAAATAGTGTTAAAATAGCTAATAGCTACCTACCCGGTACCGACCTACCCGGGACCTACTTAGACCTACCCGGTAGTAGCCTACCCGGTAGTAACCTATAGAACCTTATCGAAGCCCCTAGAAACCGACCAAACCTCCTCGAACCTAGTCGGTTCTATTCGATTCTTTCGCTTATAAATCAACGCTTAGTAATACTTATAAATCCAACCTATATTTATAAGTATTTGGAAGGTTCTAGACTTTATATACTACCTATATAAGGTCGCTACGCTCCCTTATTCCTATAGCTAGAACTTAGTTTAGATAGAGCACTCTAATAGTAACTCTCACACTCCTTTACTTACTTATTCCTTTATTATCAACCCTGCACCTTATATAAGGATAAATATCCTTATATCGGACATACCTTCCAACAAATAGGCTATAAGCTATCTAAAACAAATTACTTAGACCCACTTTTACTCCCTACTTATAGAGATATAGTAAAGTTAGATTTCTTAACTATAGAGGAGATTTTTAAAGTTAAATATCTCTATAGTTACTTACTCTATAACGTACTCCACAAGCGACCCGCCCACTTTCTAGGCACTTACACGACAATGTATAAGTTCATTCAACCACAACGCCTCAAATTAATCAAAACTATTTAGAATCCTCTTCTTCAGAGATAGACTCAACGTTCTGACACGTACGCGCATTATGACCGGGCTCCCCGCAGACGCCACAGCGTCGCGCGCGCGTCTCTGTCCTCCTTGCGCGACCATTATTCTGACTCGTTTCTGCCTGTAACTGCTGCGTCGCATCGATTTGATCCTTCAAGTCCTTTGCCTGATTAATTGTTAGGGATCCTCCTTTCTGTAGCTGCTTTCTCTTTGTACGGCGACGGCGGCTAAGGCGGTCATTTGCATCTCGAAGTTCGGCGAGTTCGTGGCGTACAAGGGTTTGCTCGTGCACCATCATTGCGATTCCTTTATTTAGCTGCCGTAAGCTTGCAATTATTGATGAAGGAGAGCTACCCTGATGCCGTACGATAGGATTCTTGATGTATTCAGTCTGCGATTCGGCTTCAATCGGGTTGTTTGGCGTCTTCGAGACCCAGGGTGGCGGGAGGCCTGTAGAGGAACCTGGCGGTGTTGGCGTATGAGGCTTCACATCTAGCTGCGAAATGACGTATTCCGCGTCGTACGGTACTAGGCCAGTCGCTCTAAAGCCTGCCTGTATATTTGACTTCGAAATTGCAGCGTCGTACGCCTTGTAAAAGGCTGGGAGGAAGTCTTCCTTCGCGATGTGGGTAATATGCGCCCGCATGAGACCTTCGATTTCTTTTCCGTACGCCCTTTTAAGAGGTCTAAAGCACCCGACATCGAGAGGCTGGAGCTTATGCGACGAATGAGCAGGCATACAGAGCGTAATTATGTTCTGGTCCTTGCAGTATAGCTCGAAATCGACCGAGTGGTGGCTCTCGTGGCCGTCGAGGATAAGGAGCCGGTAAGCGCCCTTCGTACGGCTCTTTGTATGAAAATCGAAGTGTTTTACCCATTCGAGACCTTTCTCATTCGTCGTCCAGCCGTTTTCAGTAAGCGTAATTACCCAGTTAGGCGGTAGAGGGCTTTCGGTCGTCCACGAGTCGAGGTGGACCTTGCCTGCGAAGATGATGTACGGCGGAATCGAATTGCCGGACGACGCGATACCCTGGATTACTGTAACCCATTCCTGATTCCCTTGTTGTACGGCTCTTGGCTTGCCGCGTCGATCGGAGGTCGTAACCACAGTCTCGGCGGAGATCTTACCCATCGCGAAGCCCGTCTCGTCGAAGTTGTAGATATCGTCATTGTAGATACCGTATTTCGCGATTATATTCCGTACGAGGGTAAACCACGCGCGATACGCGTCCGGATCTTCGCAGAGGACTCTCTGATAGTCGATTCTTCGATTAAAACGCGTTCGGAGCTCAGGTCGTCGTCGTACGAAGTTTGCAGCCCAGTTGGTTCCGACGCGCGGCGCGTCGCGTACGCGGAGGAGTCGATCCGCCATTCCTCGAACACCACTAAGGCGCCGTGGAAATGATCGCGAATCTAGGTCGATTACGTATCGTACAATGCTGTCCTCTTCGTATGAGGTCAATTTCTGGCTTTGTGGTCGTGAATCGCGCTTTGCAGGTTGACCATGGTATCGTCTGTAAAGTGTTGATTTCGACACGTTGTATATCGATGCAGCTTGAATTGTCAATTGTGGGTTTGTTTTAAGCGCATTAAGCGCTAGAATCAAATCGCCTTCAGTTGATTGTCGTGGCATAATTATTGGTGGAGGAAAATAAGAAGAAAGAGAGTGTCTTTCAGAAAGCGGGAAAGTGTCCCACTCCCTTGTTTGTCCCACTCCCTTGTGGAGTGTCCTGGGGCGGATGAGGGTTCTCCTGATCGGGGACAAACAACCACCACGACCGAAGGGAGTTCACCGCTTGCCAGTTTCGGCGGTGTTTCCGGCGAGGTTCACTCTGGCCCTGGGCCAGAGTGAGGGCATTCCCAGATAAGGGGCCAAAGCAGATTTTCGACGGGGGAGCCAGCCACATCAACAACGCCCTGTTGATGCGACACTTGTGAGGGAATCTCTGATCATGGCATTGTCAGTCAATTGCGTACAAGAACGGGTGCAGAAGCGTAGGAATTCAATGGGGTGGAAAAATCAAGTCGGATTGGTGAAGCTGAGTGATGAAAAAAATGTCTGGCTCCGTGCTATGAAAAACGTCACGATGGCTTCAAGCCTTAAGTAGTACTGTACAAATATGCCCCTGATCAGTCTATCCCGCACTGCCCTGACACAGGAGTACGTTAATAAGTGAGATATTAAGGTTTCTAAAAACAGCCCTTAACTATGGGAAATTACTCTTTTAGGTTCAAGCTTTAAGGGCTAGCTTACGTAAAGATTTACTAGATTTAAACTAGCGTTATATAATTCTTTACTCTTTTAGCTATATTCTGTATATACTTATAAGCTTATATCTTATAAAATAGGGGAGGTAACAGGGGTCCTAAAAAGAGCAGTTTTAGCGATTTTGGTGGGGACTTGGTGGTCGCGAGGTACTCTGGTCGCGAGACGGGGGGCAGACTTATGCAAATGGCTTTGCGAAGACATTGGTGCCAGGGTTGTACCCAGTGTCTGTGGTGTGGTCAGCCTTGGGCCTATCCGATTGACCTCGGCAGTGGATGCTACTTGAGCCATGACACAACACCTGGGAGAATGAACCTTAATAATTTACTAGGGTATTACCCCCGAAACGGTGGTCTCTAGCGTGCCCTCTGCCCTTGCATCCGGGGCAAGACCTCAATTTTGGACCCGTTCTCCACACCATCATCCTAGTAATGCTGGCAATTGGTCCTCGAGGTGAGCGCACTTGCAAAGTATGATCAGGGAAAAACGTGAGACCAAGCCCCTGTTAGTGGATAAACTTCACTCGTGCGTATTTCGGTACACTTAGGGTGCCGCGTCCGTCTGCCTTGAGGTACCTTCATCTCCGGCCTTACCACTTAACCCAATGCAATCAGGTGAAGGCTTTTTCGAACCGGGGACAACGATTCGATATAACATACTGTAGCACTACTTAAGGCACCTACAAACGCAAACCTCATACAATGACTCGACGTCCAGCAGCACGTCGTCATATTTCTCCCTCGCCCAATCCACCAGCATGCAGCTCTCGTCGTTCGTCATCTTGACTTGCATGGCAGCTGCCAATGCCCTGAGCGTCCCCAGAATGAACTCCCCGATCATTCTGTTTACACCCGGTGCCTGGCACGGCCCTTGGGCTTTCGATGAGATTCGCAAGGACCTCTCGAGCCGTGGTCTTTCGACATCGGCCGTGACCCTACCTAGTGTTGGCACCAAGAACGTCAATGTCGGTGTGGCGGAGGATACGGCCGCCGTCCGTGCCGAAATCGAGAGACTCAGCAACAATGGCAAGCAAGTCATTGTCGTGGCGCACTCATATGGTGGGGTACCTAGCCCAAGCCCCTTATTCAGCTGACACGAGGCATGCGAGCATATGGTGCCGAGAGAGTGTCGCCACTGTGGGTCAGGAGTTAGGCTTCTTGCAAGTCTTTCCTACTGCGTAAGTTATAATCTCATCAATTTGGGCTGAAACACCCTGCACGCTCTCGAGGCCAATTGAAACCTAACCACTAACGCCACCAGTACCAGCAGTTGGGGATCGCTAAGCTCAATAAAGCTACCATGGTGCCGATGGCGTTAGTGGTTAGGCTTCAATTGGCTCAGAGAGCGTGCAGCAAATTTGGTGCAGACTATTAGTCTGACAGTTAGTCTGAGATCATTGAACCAGACTGTTGGTCGGTCTGTTTCAGTCAGACTGGACCATCAGTCTGTACTAGTAGACGGAGAAGCCAAGGCGTCTGCTAGTTGAGTTGTTGCACATCGGTAACTTTTAAGTTTGACCGGCTGGGTCAGTTAGCCAGTCCCGGCCTGGGTCCGTTAGCGCTTGTATTACCCACTGGTTTGCTTTTCAGGATGGGCGTCTGAGACAATTCAACGGAACGCCAACCGCAACGATGTTTGTAGGCGCTGAGTCGACCCAACCTCGGAAATGTCCGATAATGGAATCAGTATTGCGCCACCCAAGGAATCCATCTCTCTTCGTGACACGTAACACGTGACGGTGATACGAGCCAGGTCTGCGCGTTGCAGCAATTGAATGTGTAACTACGGAGGTACTGGAGTTTTTTGCGAACCAAGTGGTTGTTCTTTCGCGGGAAGTGAGATTGAATCCCTTTTTCATATGTTGATATGGCCCCTGATGATCTTCTTGGGTGTCCATAGGTCCGATGATCTCCTTGTTCCCGGGATATCTGGTCCGTGGAGTTGGTTGAAACGTTGGATGACCATCTAAGACCAGTGGCGCAAGCCAAAACCGAAGAAGTGGATATTGGATTCTGCAGCACGTAGCGCGGCTAAGCGCGCAGAACTGACACGTGTGGAGTTGGTGTGCCGTTTTCAAAAGAGTCGTAGCACCGTAATTGGCAGGTATGCCCTTGTCTCTGTCCAATATAGTGTTGCCTGCTGAGTACAGTACTGTGCCTCCGCATCTCCCGGATACGCCTGGTGGATCTGAAGCATGGGTCAAATGGAGTAGGCTGCTGGTTTATGACGATCTGCCTCGCCTGATGCAAGACGTAGAGCAAGGTCATGACTCGTAAGCGACAATGCCATATTGTGTAATACAATACACACCACCTGGCAATACAATAATATTGCGAGGGGTCCATATTGCCAATATACGCATTGTTGCACTGAGCGGGAGCAAGGGCATATACTGGAAAAACATCAACTTTAGTCAAAACCAAGTTTTTGGAAACAAAACGTAATCAGGCCCAAAAAGCCCAAGGTTACTGTCATTTGGATCCTCTCTCCTGCGGCACACCGGAGGCCACAGGCTGGGAAAGCCTAGCTTCCGGCGCGGGTAACAGTGGAGACAAAAGTGGTCATTGGAGGCAGCTAATGCATCACGATGGAGACCGGACCTCCATCGTCGACGCCCTTAGAGTGGCCAACCATGGGTAAGACAGACGAAGATACTTTGACACATGCCCAATACCTTGCGGAAGACATCTCGATCCTACAGAAGGCCATTGACAGCCGCCCAAAGTATGCCGCCGTGCCCAGCGGCAGGCTGCGACCCCTTTTCGAGTCCATCAAAAGTCTCGTTGCCAAATTTCTCACGTGCCAGGGGGCCCAAGCACCCCAGACCCACCTCGAAGAAAACAGGCGAGTTCAACAAATAGCAAATATACAGCAGCAGCACACCAAACAGCTAGAAAGCATTGTCACAGCCTTGGCTGGCCTCACAAATCCAGAACGGCTGGAGACAACCACACAGATTTCTAGGAGTTGGGCGCAGGTTGCCGGAGCTTCTGCCACAACCAGTGACGCCACAGGACTCCCCCACGCAGCGAAGACCACCAAGACCTGGACGTCGGCCGTTGGGAAAACCTACAACGAACACGTGACTGAGCCAAATGAAAGAAGACTTGTCATCAAATTACACGACTCGACAGGGAATGATGGTAATGCCATCAGAACCTTGATCCAGAGCCAAATGGCCAACAACCCGGGAGCCCTCGTCTCACACATAAACAAAGCCATACAGAACGCAGCCACGGCAGCCAAGTCAGCAACGCCTACAGAAATACCCCCCTATGAAGGGATCAAAGTGAACAGTGCCATCTTCCTGAAGTCTGGGGATGTCCAGGCACATACGGAATTTGTCGCTCAGACCGAGCTCCTCCTGGCTCACGCCGGGCAGTGGGCAGAATTCGTGGGCGACATTGGGAGAGTGGTGGCTGGCGCTAGATCCGGTTGGGTACATTGTGGTGTGGCATTTGGGGAGTCGATCAGCTAGCACCAGCCGACATGACGAAGCGTCTTGTGGCGTCGGTGGCAACCAAGGATTCGGCAGGCCAAGCAGTCTTCCGTCCCCAAATATCGGACCTTTGTCCGAGACTCATTTTTGGCAAAAGGGGGTTGGCCCGGATTATGCCGTTGGCCGCGAAACTTATCTTTTCCGCCTTCCCCGCTCCTAGCGCGTCGGGGAGACCGAGCTTGTGACAGTCCCTCCGCGCAGAGGACAATACCCAAGCCTAGCCGTTTTTGTAATCGTGGCGCCCTGTTAGCGGGAGTTGGTGGCGTGTTCTGACTCCAAGATAGAACAGTGTGTTGATGAGGTGCTACTCCTTGGATGTCGAGATCGACGAAATGTCCCTTTCATGTCGCTCACCCGTCCCGTTTCCTTCGCCCTACCTAGCGGCCATTGCGCCGGACCTTAAAAGAGGAGGTCGACCCGATTTCCCGGGCCTGCTCTCAAGCTTGCTTGCTCTTGCTGCTATGCCCACAACTGAAGTTAAAACGTCTTCGGCTTTACAACTTTCCCGGTCCCTACTGCTGCCCCCGCTATGATCGATCGCACCTACTTCCCAGTCTTCTGGGTGCCCGCCTCGGTGCTCTTAGCCACGGCCTTCGTCGTTTCCGCTATCCGGTTCCGCGTGGCGCGACGGTCTTCGCGGGGATGGGGGTGGGACGATACTACGGCAGCTGTCGCCTTGGTCTTAATCATCGTTCTTTTTTCTATCGAGATCGTGCTTTATTTGCGTGGTTTGGGTATGGAGGGTCCCATTTTCGATTCCCCGCTCCTGTGGGCCAAGAGCATTCTCTGGATGTGGGCACTTAACATAACCCGGATTTCGATTGGTTTAATGCTGCTCCCGCTGCGTCAGCAATGGCGTTGGTGGCGGTGGACGCTGTGGTCCGTCATTGCCGTCAACGTTGCCTGGCTCCTTGCCCTTACCGCCATACATTTCACCATTTGCATTCCGCTTTCGGCCGTGTGGACACCTACCGCGGACGCTGTTTGCATGACCACGCAAGCACTATTGGCGTGGGCCCGGACCTATCACTGTACTGTTCCCCTCCTTGCCGCTTGTTTACATGCCGCCTGGCAATTTCAAATCAAAAGCGCTGACCACGCCCCTTCGGGTTGCCATCCAGGGTGCAATTTGATCTGTAACCTGGTCCTTTCACTGTTACCCCTAACCTTAATCTACGCAATCCGTCTACGGGCCGACAAGCTGGCCATTACGTTCCTAATGACGGCCGGCCTGGGCGCCAGTGCCGTCGAAATTATATATCTGGCCTGGTTTCTCAACACCTACCTGCACGGCCAAATTTATAAACCCCTATGTACCCCACTTTATGACCTACTGTGCGCCCTCCAACTGCTTATCGGCTTCATCGCGGCGTGCTTGCCTAAAACCAAAGCGCAAATTTTTTGGTTCCTCCGCCGCCTACGCCTCCTGCCCGCCACCAGCGACCACGAGGCCGCAGGCCGCGGGCCCGACAGTCTGCCGCAACACCTCCCGCACGGTAGTCAGTTTTCGCGCCAGCTCCGTAGGCTGGATAGCGGCGACCATCAGAGTTCCCAGTGCACTGCGGCCGAGGCCAGCAAAGCGCCGTCGGCCGGCACCCACTCCCTTTGAACCCGGCACGTTTGGAAGAGGCCACACTCTGGACGTGGCTCGCACTCATCCCCTTATTCCTCTCCCGCCTGTTTTACCTCATATTTTCTCTTCGCCTCGACCCCGGACTCCTCAAGGTAGTGCATGTCACTTTGGCACGTCGCAGACAGTAAGTCCACAATTGATCCATTTTTCTCCTCATTAGTACCTGTAATGCTGACCTTGAAGCAAGCAGTTAAACACACCCGTTAAGCACCTTTTGTCTACTGCGGGGAAGGAAAAAGTTATGAACGGGTTCGTTCAGGTGCTCGAGCAGCTCCGCGGGGCCGCTGTGCTGAGGCATCAGGTTTCGGACACCGCCAGTCATGACGGTCAGCGGCCGGAGGTACTGAACAAGAGCCGTCAGTTTTTGATGAGGGCGGCAAACCGGATCTTTTCCGAGAGACAGCTCTGGGCCGTGGAGGTCTGCTACCACTTGCTCGGCTATCACACAGACTTTACCAACGTGCCGTACTAGTCGTTCACCAACCTCACGGCACTCTACTGGACAAATCTTCCGGCGATGGGCGCACCTTCGTTGCCAGGCCGGCGTACAAACAGACGCGGAGGAGCCTGATGAGACGGTACAACTTAGGGGAGGCGGTCGGACGCTGCTGTACTTGGATGCCTATGCCTATAGAGGGCCGATTCTGAGAGATGTTTGTCTCTACGATTACATGTCTATGATTAACCTGGTGCGTCGTGGTGACAGAGCCGAGGACGAGACCAACATAGCTCTTGAGGGGCCATCCGTAGAATATCACAACTGGACCCAAAAGCTTCGTCGGCCTCACGAATACGCCGTACCGATCTTTCAGGGGTATATTAGCAGCGACCATTTGGACGAGCATCCAGTTTACTTTAAACGGTACGCTCTAAAGCCCCCACTCTAGTCCGGGCCAGCGCGCTGACCGTGTGTAGTAATTCTGTCCTTCATCTGGCCTTATTCGTGCCTTGGGAAGACTTCATCTCGAAGACAGACGGCGATATCAGCGACATCTGGTCCAACCATGAAGCTTCTCTCCGCCCCGTCTCAAACACTATATCTTAAACATCTCCCTTCTTAGTAAGTCGGCCGAGGATGCACGCAAAGATGCACAGCTCTGGGCAAGCCGGTCAGAAGGAGACGATACCGTTGACGTAGAGTTTCCCATTGACGAAGGCGACCGCAGCGAAGAACCTGCAACATTGGCTGAGCATCGCCAAAGCTATACGGCAGTGCTCCGGACTCTCCGAAGCGCAGTTCGAGACTCGGATGCTACAAAGGGCTCTCCAGTCTTAGGGAGCCTGATCCAAGACTTGTGCCAGGAGAACCTAGTCGAAGAAGCCCAGCCGTTTGTTCAACGCCCTGAAGACTTCTATCACCAGATCCGCCGGAGCCAGAATAGTGCCTTGTATCAATACCCCACGTTCTCGGGAGATGTTCAGGCCTTGGCAAAGGCGCAGGAAATGCTGCACCTCCGAATGCTCGATGACATGGAGACCAGTCTCGGCGCCGAACACCCAGCAGGTAACGCAGACGTGGACGACATGCTTGCTCGTCACTACGATGCAGAGATTCCTATTCCGCTTCGACGTCCGGACCCAGCCATGCGGGGCCCTCGGATACTTATTGATACCAACCCCGCGGCAGGTTTTATTGAACTAGGCCGTCTTGCCGCCTCCGAGTACATGCTCAATGAACTACAGAATATGGCCTTGCAGCTTGTGTGCAGATTCTTGGACAAATACGCTGCCAATCCCGACTCGGCTGGCCAACACCTTCAATATACCGGCGGCCCGGGCGGGACGGGAAAATCCAGAATCATCGACGCCTTGAGGCAGGTGTTTACAGCGAGAGGTCAGCTACACCTTCTCCAGATTACCGGCACATCAGGCAGCGCGGCCGCCCAGATCGGCGGAACCACAGTCCACTCCGCGTGCGGCCTAGATGCACGCCGCTCGTCTAACCAACAGCTTCCACTGTTCTCGGAGGCGAAGAAATGGACGTGGAAGCAGAAGCTGGTCCTCGTGATCGACGAGGTCAGCATGCTCGGCGGAGCCACTCTGTACGACATCAGCTGCCACCTCCAGTCGCTCCGAGAATGCCCAGACGAGCCCTTTGGCGGTATTCCTGTTGTCCTCCTAATGGGGGATTTCTACCAGTTTGCGCCGGTGCGAGAGACGAGTCTCCTCGTGAACAAGATTGGGAACCCCGCCATGATGTCGGCGGCGGCCTCAATAATTGATCACCACCGCGGCTACAGCCTGTGGCTAGTGTTTAAGACTGTCGTGCTTCTCGAAGAGCGGCCGTGTAACCCTGACAGGTACCATACCGAGCTTGCACGTAGAATGCATTCTCAGGTAGCGGACCGACAGCCTCGAGACGATGGAAATACAGTTCAGCTTCCTCAACGCGACCCTGAATCATAAGAGCTAGCGATACAGCCTCCAGCCAGGCCGGTGACTCCTTAAAGTCAGTCCGCCGTAAGCTCAGCAGAAACTCTGTGGCGTAGGACTGGTTATGCTGCCGTTCCTCTTCTTCAAGGCTGAATGCACGCCAGTACAAGTTCGCGACGAGGAACGCGATAAACTTGACATTCTGAAACGGCTTAAGATTGAGTTTGTACTCCTCTATTGCCAGGTCGCGGAAGGAAACTGGGGATGGAGCTGCTCGGTGATGGATCTCTGGACCATAGATGATTCTGAAAGCGATTTGGGCCACATCTCTCATGCTAGTGGACACCCTCTCAACACGGCATAGTGACTTGGCATCCAGATTTCCTAAGACACAAAGAAGAAGCTCGACAGGCAGCCGGGTCAGCAGGCAGGAGGGGCCGACACTCCTCGCATTAGTGTCCATAACCGAGATGGTCTTGATTTGCTAGGCAGAGATAACTGAGTGGAGCAGGGCGTGCGAGAGATTTTTGGCCCGGAGCATGATGGAATGACCGGATTGCCTCTCCATCATCTATCTGAGGTAACTCAGAAAAATGCGCAAGACCCGCATTTCCGGTCTACCGTCGTATGTCAGAGATCACAAGCCCTCAGGCTATTGGCTCATATGATCAACGCAGGTAGCCTTAAGTGACTAGACTTGATTTATTGATTGCATGAATATTTGTTTGTTAGGATTGCTTGGGTGTGTGGATTGTTTGAGCTGGTTTGTTTAAGTTCCCCGAACGTCACGATGCGCAGCCCCACGGGGAGGACCTCCTGGCTCCGTCGTCAGCCGCTGCTGGGACACGGCAGGCCCTGCCATCAAGCAACAAACAAAGCGTAAGTATGATGTGGGCAGCAAGTGGGCCATTTGGAATACAATGCAGTACCTGACAAAGCATCTAGAGCTCTCCTGAGAGCATACAAATGGCGCACCGGAGCGCGCTTGAACCATTCATTATTGTTCCCTCTGTACTCAGGCAACTATATACGTACTGCACTAACTTATATTATTTCCCACTTTTGATATAAAGCGTGGCCGCAGATTTGTGGAGGAGCAAGATCATTTAGTTTCTCTTATTATAGCACCTGGCTATCGCCTATTGAGTAGTGTATGCTAAGCTTTGCCAATAAAGCTCCAACTCTGCTTCTCGGCAAAAGAACGGAATAAGCCGTGTTCCTCCAACGTGTTGGCCTTGTGTCCCATCAAAAACGGTTGAGCGTCAGGAGTGGCGAGAGCCGAGCCAAGTGTGCACAACTCGTCGTGAGGCAATTTGCGGCACGGCTCAACCACTAATTCCCTGCGAATGCACCAACCGAGGGGTTGCAGGACGTCGGCAACATACCGAGCCGCCGTCCGCAGTTCACCGTCGATGGGTTTGTCTACGGGAGTGTAGTAACCCACCCTGGCACCGGACCCACGTTCTATAGCCCGCGCGAGGTCTGAAGACACTGCCGCTGCATCATCAATATACCCTCTGATACCTCTGTTCTGGAAGTTGGCAACAAACCACTGCAGCGCGGCCAGGGAGAAGTTGTGCATCCAGATTTCGCACAGCTTGTCGTCCATCTGCTGGGTCGTCCATGCACGCAGAACAATCTCCTCCTTCTGCTGCGGCGTGACCTCGCAGGAGCCGAGGCTGATCCAAGCAGCCAGCTGCCGCACTCTGAGGGTGGCGGATGAGTCGATTATGCGTGTGACCATCTGTCTCTTTGTGATGAGGAGCTCCGAGATACGGTCCCCATACTGCTCCGCCATCCACTCGGCGACGGCTCCACTGTGAGAAATGGCATGCTCAAAGGCATCCTGGCCGAGGAGGTCTGTGGCACATATATCAGCGCCCAGGCTGATCAGCAGCGATACCGTGTCCACGTCTCCGGATCTGATTGCCAAGTGCAGTGCCGTCCCATTGATGCCCAGGGCATTGATGTCCAGCTTGGCTTCCTTGACGAGGAACTCCACAATCTCTCTCCCTCGATTCCTGTCACGCAATTCCACGGCGAACCCGATACTCAACATGCCAATGGAGTTGGTCGTCGGCAGTGCCGAGTGCTGGCTCAGGAGCCGGAGCACACTCAGGCGCCCTCTCCAGATGGCATGTACGGCGAGAAATTCCCCGTCGATCTTGGTGGGAGCTCCCTTGGTCAGCAGGTAGCTGACAGTTTCGTAGTGGCCGTGGTTGACTGCCGCGAGTATGGGCGATGGCCATAGGTGGTGGCCGGTAATGTCTACACCACGACCCTGCAGAAACTCCAGCACCGTGTTCTGCCCTCCAGAGGCGGCCGCCGACGCCACGCTGTAACGATCAACTATACAACAGAGATTGATCACATACTTGGCGCACAGGTACTCGAGCAGGTCGACGTCACCTCGAGCGGCGGCCCCGATGACGAGTTTCTCGAGCATTGTGGAGGTTGGTTCGGCGCCAAGGCGCTGGAGAGCCTCGATGAAGCGCTTGTGCGAGCCGTAGCGCGCCTGAGCTATAACCATTCCTTCCGACGGCGGCCCGACGGTGGCGAGCTGAGCGTAGTGTTTGTCGGCTTCCCTCAGGCGACCCTGTATCATGAGGGCCAGCGCCACGGTTTCTAGCCAGACGGGACTGTGTGCAGCATCACTACGTCGCAGGCTGAGCAGGCTGAAGACCGCGAATGACTGGTTGCCACTGTCTATGGGAGAGTGGACCTGCTCATATATGGCGTGCAAGAGGGCCGTGATCTCCCACGTGGTATGGAAAGGGTTGCAGTCTAGTTTGTACTCCTCGATTGCGAGCTCCCGCAAAGGTGAAGGCGATAGAGCCACTCGGTGCTGGACACCAGGGCCGTACACTCCCCGGAAAGCACTATGCGCTGCATGTCGCAAAGCCCGGGATACTCTCTCGGCATACCACAGCGACCTGGCGTCGAGGTTCTCGAGCACATAAAGGAGCAGCTCGGGGGGCAGCCGCGTGAGAGGAAATGGTGACCCACTGCACAAACCCACTGTCGCCATAGTGAGACCCGGTGAACACTTTCGCTATATCGGGTTGGGCAGGCTGAGCCGGCAGAGATGGTGACGTAATTTCATCGCTTGTCCACTGTATTATTGAGCAAACTGTTCGCTTTATCGAAAAGCCCTCTGAGTCTTGCCGTGGAGTATTCATATTCTACGTGTATGCTACTGTACAGTACTGGTCACAGCTGCCAAACGAATCGCGGCGTGTTCCAAGCTCGCCTGGGGTGAAAGTCGCTGGGCACCAAGGCGGGCAGGTTTGTGTGTGTATGTTTGTGGATCCATGTTTGTGGAACTCGAGTATCACCCGTGGGGGTTTGTTTGCGAATGCCTGGTATGTCTGTGGGTGAGGAGGTTTGTTCGGACGTGGAACCTTAGTAAATTGGGTCGAGCAGAGCATTGGCATGATTGGTTACAGCCGATGAGCTCCACAAACCGGCACAAACCTGAACAAACACACACCTGCAAGTGTAAGTCCAATGAGAGCGAGCGGGGCCTTGTCAGATCCACACACTTCTGGGTGCCCATGCTCGTGCTGCAAGCTCACGACGCCTGCATCCCTGCTAGTGCCGCAGTAGAGTCGGCCGTCATGCATGAACGGACGGGGCTCTGCCAGCCGGGGCGGCGCACCGGGGCCGTGCTGCTTCCCGACTGAGCACGGGACCCTGAAGGGCATACGCCGGCGATATGCGGCATCATCACAAACTTGGGCAGTCAGGTTGGTCGTGTTTGATTTGAAGACTTGGCAGGAAGTGGCGGTTTGATACTGTACTGGGATGTCCCGCCAACCCCAAGTTCTCCAAGAAGCATCACGAGCCTAGACACGGTCCCATCCCAAGTTGGACGATTTGTCCTACCCCGGTCGTGTGCTGGGAGGGGGAGGGCCGTTGTTGGTTCTCGTCAACAGCCACCATCAGGTCCACTAACACGGGTCTCCGCAACCCCTCAGACGAGTCAGCCGAGGGGGAACCACCTGGTCTCTTTTCGGCGCGCGCAGAAATTCACGCAGTCTGCTCAAGCTTTCCCGGTGAGGTTTACTTACTGTAAGGCCGAATAGCTATAACAAAGTCAACTATCAGCAGGCAGCCGCCTTGGGGTGCTCATCTAAGGACAACGGATAGTTCCCGTCCCAGGGGATTCCCGCAATGAATCTGCGCCACCTCCTCACGTTCGGAGCTCTGGCGGCCAGCCAGAGCTACGAGTATGTCGGCAGCCAACAAGCCCTCATCCACCACGACGACCACCACCAGCCGCATGTGCTTGCTCAACTCGTCGCCGTCCCATGGCCGCGCCCAGCCAGCCGGCGGAGCCTGAGCGCGAAGGGCTGCCGCTGCCTGCCGGGAGATTCATGCTGGCCCTCCCAGGCGAGATGGAACGAGCTCAATGCAACTGTTTCGGGCAGACTGGTGGCGACAGTCCCCATCGGCTCAGTCTGCCATGATCCGACCTACGACGAGCAGGCATGTACAGCCCTCCGCGCGTCGTATAGCGAGCCAGAGACACACTACAGCTCGTCCTCGTCCATGATGGAGCGATTCTGGGCCAACCAGTCCTGCAACCCGTTTGCGCCCCGGGCGACGTCCTGTGCCGACCTCGGCAATCTCGTCAGCTACGCCGTCAACGTGAGCGGGCCATCGGATATAGCCGCAGCGATAGGCTTTGCCAAGTCTGAGAATATTCGGATCGTAATCCGAAACACCGGGCACGACTTTGTCGGGAGGTCGACGGCGCGCGGGGCGCTGACGGTATGGACGCATCACCTCAAGTCGATGGAGTTCGTGGCGGCCTACCAGTCGGCACTGTACACTGGGCCTGCACTGAAGATGGCGCGGGCGTGCAAGGCTTTGAGGCTGCAGCGTTCCTTGCGCCGCTCGGGTTCGTGGCCGTCGGCGGCTGGTGTCCATCCGTGGGTGTCGCCGGAGGCTTTGACGCCGGAGGTGGCCACTCGCCGCTGGGGTCCAAGTTTGGCATGGGCGCGGACCAGACACTCGAGTTCGAAGTGGTCACGGCCGAGGGCGTGGCGGTCACGGCTTCTCCAGTGGCCAACCCGGATCTATACTGGGCATTGAGCGGCGGCGGGCCCGGCAACTACGGCGTGGTGACAAGCGTGACGGTCCGAGTGCACCCGGACGCGCCGGTGGCCGGCCTGTTTCTGATGATCGACCGGAAGACCGTCTCGCCCCTCGCGTTCTGGGCGGCCATGCGGGTCTTCTTCGAGCTGATGCCGACCATTGTCGACCGCGGGGTCGGAGCGACGTTCAGCCTGGGCGCCGACGTGTTCTACCTGACCCCGCTGACGGCGCACGGCCTGACGCTGCTGGCAGCCCAGGCGCTGGTGCAGCCTCTGGTCGACGCGCTCGACCGTGTCGGCATCGCGAGCACGGCGGAGTGGCTGGCATCGCCGGGCTACCACGCGCACTGGACGACGTTTGTCGCGCCCGGGCCGGTGGGGTCGTTCTGGCAGAGCAGTGCGCGCATCGTGCCGCGCGGCGTCGTCGAGGACGCGGCCGGCCTGAGCAAGCTCATGGCCGCGCTGCAGCACATGGTGGACGACGGGGGCGTGACCATCGGGGGCACAGTGGTCGGCGCGGTGAAGCGGACGGGCGCGGCCAATGCGGTGCTGCCGGCGTGGCGGGACGGCGTGGCACTGCTGGGCCTGCTGACGCCGTGGAGCGACGCGCCTGCCGACTGGGCGCAGATGCGGGGCCAGCAGCGGTGGCTGGGCGATGAGATGCAGCCGCTGATCGAGGACGTGACGCCGGGAAGTGGGACGTACATGAACGAGGCCGACGGAGCGCAGCCCAACTGGCGGGAGGCCTTCTTTGGCGACAACTACGCCGCGCTGGCGGCTGTCAAGAAGACGTGGGATCCAGACTCGCTCTTCTGGGCGCTCCAGGTGCCTGGCAGCGAGGCCTGGACAGTGACGGACGAGGGGCGCATGTGTCGGGCCGAGGTGGGACTCTGAACCCGGACTTTGCAGGCTGGGATGGGGTTATAGCCAGGGCAACGAAACTCACTATGGTGGCGATCGGTGGTCTCCCACTCAAGGCCACGAACCAGGCTGGATCTCTCTGTCAAAGTGGAGAAGATTATGAGACTAAGGCCCTCAGTCTATCTCATGCTGAAGAATCTCACCATGTCTGTTTGGATGTTTGCCAGGTGCTTAGTCATCCGGCATCACCAGAAACTTCAGCACTAAGATCGACACCACGGAAACCTGGAAAGCGTTTATTAGCCCAATGTGTCCAGACTATATGAAGACGTATTAACCACGTGCATGACCTTTTGACCGTGCACCACCTACTCGTGGTCTATATACGTATCTTAAGTCCACCTGATTCTATTGAGCCTTGTTGAATGGCGGGCGCCACCTCTCTTGGTCAGGTCCGCGAAGAGCAGCCCTCGACGCTATGTGGTCACACTGGTGCAGTTTTGTGGCGTACGGCGCTCGCTCCATAGACTGTCGGGGCAGTGCAGCACATCCCGCCATGGCATCATTTGGCTCCTCGATCGCCTCAAATATAACCTGTCTCTTGGTACAGGGATGTCTGCCAGAGTACCCCGTGTCCACCTTCGTGGAAAGACCAGTATCTCTAAAGAAGTCTGCTCATGAGTCACCCTCATCTTGATGAAGAACGGCTGCGGCTCATTCCATCTCATTGGTATTCTCATTACTCGTGCCATCATGCAGTGGCTTGGCAACTGTCAGCGTGCAATAGTGCAATTTTGAGGCATGATACGGGTGCCTTACGTATTCATCGTCTGCTCTGCCTTTCCTAGGCTTCCTTGGCACAGAGACTAGCGCGTTGTCGTCTGATGAGAATCCGCCCCTGGCAGTCGGAGCAGCACGTCTTATACAGGCCTGGAAAACCTCAGGAAGATTGATACGTAAGCTGATGTACGCGAGTTCGACGGTGATGAGAATGAAGGTAACTTTCGAGGACCCTGTGAAATTGGCGCTCCAGTCGATCCGGAATAGGAACACGAAGCTAACAGCGCTAATAATGCAGTCCCTTGGAGAATCGTCCTGTCAGTAAAGTCTGGTTCGCAGGGAGGGGCGCGGGGCCTTATTGTCTCCGTTGAGCTTACCCGACCCCCAACGCAAAGATGACGATCACAGATATCTTCTTGGATGTCGACATCTGATCTTCCAAAGCCTATGCATCGGCATGAGTGTGACGGCAAGGTCTAAAGCAAAATTTGTTGCTACAAGACATTTCAACAGAGCGACCTGGTCTCTACAACTGTTGCCTCGTATAATACTCCATTGCTGCCCTACGAGGTCGCACAAGAAGACGAAATTGAGCAGGAAAACGGTTCCCCACAGGACAACGAGACCTATGGCTATGTTGATGACCTGGCAAAATTGCTTCTCGGCTCGGAAAATTCGGAAGTAGAGACAGAGCTGGCTGATCTTGAATAATGCAAGAGTGACGATGTAGACTAGTGTGTACACGAACGTGGCCGGTGAGAAGAGTCAACGTGATTGTTTGAATTAGTGGTATGTTGCAGAAGAAAGTGGGAGGGTCCACGGCATATTGGCTCACTTGTAGAATGGTTGGAAGATTTTCAACTACTAAAAGTCTCATCTCTGATTAATCATATTGCTTATGTTCCTCGAGGTTATTCTTTACGTACGGGCTCTATAATGCGGAGATTTGGAATGCATGTCGTGTCCGACACCAAGGAGGAAGACTGTTGCGAGTGATCTGTCAGCACAGATAATATGGCTTGATGAAGTGACTTACGGATTGTGCTAAGAGCGATAGTGATCCCTGTGAGTAACTAGTGTGCGTTAGCGGTGCCTCTTACTATGGTATTCGATGCTGGTGTACTTACTATCGCAGCAACGGTGAGCCAAATGTCCCAACATGGTTGGCCACTGTTCCCTCGTCCTGTCAAACGGATGATGGCCAGCGCGACGCCAAACACCCATATGACAGGACCTACAACGGTGCACCCAACCGCTTCTGATGTAAGAGGAAGCATCAACATGACGACGATGACGAAAGACAAAGGAGTGTGAGAGAAGTGTCCAAGAAGAAGCCTCAGGGTCTTCATACGGCACGCGATCCTCTATATGTACTCTTGCGGCGCTTATGCATGCGACCGGCGAGATACCAGGCCCTGGCTTGGCTCGGGAAAGCAGGGCGTGGCCCCCGGAAGTGCTAATTGGTTGATGCTCTTGCCCGGGCCCCAATATTGTCTCGTTGCATGGAGTGTCGTTCAGGGGCTCAGAAGGACGCCTCAACAATGCGACCATGGTAACCTCCCACTTTCTTAAGGCTGGCTTCCGATTCTAGTTCGCATGCAACCCTTCGTAAACATCTGGGATCTTTGCTAGAATGTCACTATCTTGTTCGGAAGCCAAGAACCTGGATTAGGCTCCACGCCAATGGATCAGGCTGTGTGGCGATTTTGACTACGGAGGTCTGGCCCATGGCTCCTGTTTCAGTGTGAGACTTCACTGTGTGAACGTGCTATGCTGGTGTGTTTGAAGCGGCTACTCAGCCTTGGGCGAGCCACGTCTTTGGGATAACCAGATTGCGCCAGGGCCCAAGGAGTGGTACTGAATATGGCCCTCCTACGAAGTTCTCGGTATGTGACTCGCGTTAGTCCTCCATCGCGCGCCACCATCAAGATCCTCTCTTGTGCACAGGCTTGCGACGAGGAACCTGGCCTGATTCGTCACCATGGGTTCCTATCTTCCAGGGGCACGCTGGCAAGTTCTACATTACTATAACTGGGAAGATACGGGACGACGCGCGTAGCAAAACAGCCGGGTTCAACCCTAGCAGCTGCGTGCTGGCTGGGATGACCACTTCAGTACACTCACCTCTTCACATGGAATGATAAAGACCCACACACATCCTCAGAGCTTGACCGCCCACTTTGTTTGGTAAACGACAACCTGGTCCCATCTCTAGAGGCAAGTAAGTGATCTTCCATATATACCTAAGTATCCCCCCGTTAGACCCGAAGACTCCAGTCGTGGTGGACTAAGAGCACCCATGATAATCTTCGAGCTGTAACGTAACACGGGTTCTTTACTGGCTACATTATGTGGCTTCCGAATTCCACTCAACAACTATAAGCGCGTCCGAGTAGTAATGTCGTCGATGTCTGCTACTACGGTTTACGCGTTTCGAGACTCTTGGATCGGGAATGCTCTCGCGACTACCTTTGGTACCTATGCTGGCTACAAGGTTATTGTCGCGTTATACAACATCTCCATCCCCTGTCCCACTTCCCCGGACCGAAGCTTGCAGCAGCAGGATACTTTCATGAGGCATATACGATTGGGTTTGTGGCGGCAAGTATACGCAAGAGATGAAGCGCATGCACGAGAAGTACGGTGAGTGTCCTGTAAATCACATTACAACTTGGATAGGAACGAGCTCTCACAACTTTAAGCTCGCTTGAGCATGACCACCTTAACTAACCATTTACCGGGCCCACCGCCCGGATCAACCCCGACGAGCTGCATTGCAACGACCCTCGCTTCACCGACAAGATCTATGCCGGTCCTGGTCGAATCAGAGACAAATGGCACCACCAGGTGAGCATGGTTGGCGCGGGCCCCGTCTCTCGAACGGCTTTTTCGACCATTTTGAACGAGGAGCAAGTGTTTCAACAGGAGACAAGCTGGCCAAAGACTAATACATAAGGCGGTGAGGATTGGTGCCATCCCATTCCGTGACCTTTTGTGGTTGCGTCTTGGACCCTTTTCATCTTCCTGACAGCCTGACCGGTAATCCTTTCGGTCCTCTAGCGACCCTTTGTCGCGCTTGGTCCTCCGCCCCTGGAGACCGCATTCTCTTCCCGGGCGGGGTTGGATTGTCAAAAAGTGTAGAATCGCTGCGACGCCCGGTATCCAACTCCGATTCAGAAGAGTCAGAATGATAGCTATTGGGATAATCCGTCTGAAAGTTGCTTGCTGGATGAATAGAGGATTTCGAGGACATCCTCGCCGTCAGTACATACAATCTCCTTTACCAACCAGAGATCTACAAGCGCCTTAGGGTATCCCTTACAGACATCACTCCCTCTACACTCAAGTGGTCCCACATAGAAACAAGCCCTACTTCTGGGCTGTTATACAGGAGTCTCTACGAATAATGCCGGGTGTCTCCCACCGCTCCGCCCGCATCGCCAGAGATGAGGACCTGCACTACAGGAACGCGACAGGAGAGGTCGAGTACGTGATCCCGCGTGATACGCCGATCGGAATGTCGTCGATCATCAACCACATGGATCCTGGTTTGTTTCCAGACCCGGAGGCGTTCAGGCCCGAGAGGTGGCTGCTAGAAGATGGATTGCCAGACTACAAGCTTCAAAAGTACTTGTTGGCGTTTAGCCGGGGGAGTCGGGCTTGTATCGGTGAGATGTAAGCTGTTTGATTCGAATTGTATCTGTGAAAAGGCTGTTTCGTTCTCCCTCTAGGCTCGCGTACTGCGAGATTTACATCATGGCCGCGCTCATGGCGTTGCAGGTCGTCCCACGCGCTAGGCTATATGAAGCGAACGGTCCCGACCACTTTAAGTACGATCACGATTTGATAGTATTGCAGATTGAGCAGGGATCCATTAGTTGCAAGATTAGCGTTAGCTAAAGGTGCGTCGAGAAGGAGAAGAAGGAGAAGAAGGAGAAGAAGGAGAAGAAGGAGAAGAAGGAGAAGAAAGGGACATCTTCTAGCCAGCCCGGACCCCTAAGGCAATGAAAGAGATTGAATTGCATTCGTCAGCAGATCCCATCGTGACGCCCCCGCGACAACTTCATGCCAATTGGCCTTGTCAATAGACGGGTATCTCGAAGCAAGAATATTGCCGACCGTCTTAACGCCAGCAATCTTATTATTCGACTCATACCCGTACCTTTTGGCGGCCTCCACAACGGCCTTATCGATCGTGACCCCCTCGGAGAGGTTGACGGCGTAAGTGTTGTGAGTCACGTTGTGTATCAGGACGACGCCGAAGTCCGTTGGCCGATCAATGTCCTCTACCTGGATGAAGTTCTCGATGGCCACTACAAACCCTTCATGCGCCTCCGTGTCGGCCTCGACGTTGGTGACAGCGTTGTGGATCCGGTTGTACGCGCCCTGGCCACCTGCCGCGTTGTACGGCTGCTCGCCGACGTCGGACTCCACAGGGACAATAGCGTATTTGACCTTAGTCTGTTCGGAGACACGCTGCTCGAAGTATTTCTTGATTATGGCGACCTTATCCTTGTTCCCGGTTGGGATGATGGCTCTGATGACTGGCTGGTTGATGCTTCTTGTGGCATTCTCTGTGGTGTGGTTGGACATGCCCGGGAAGACCGAGTGTAGCTGTTTGAGGTACTTCGGCGATATGAGTACTCGATTTTCCGAGTTTCTGAGCGCCTCGATGTCCGGAATCCGTTCCCTCAGAGTCTTAATGCCCTCGATCACTTTGAAAAGTCTTTCCACACATTCTCTTGGGCCGCAGATGAAGCCTATGTGCTCTCGAGGTCCTAAACAAGGTCGTAAGTAAAGGAGGTTAGCGTTATTCATCTCAGTAATGTAATAGTTGTCAGACTCACGATCAGTCCCGGTGCGGGTGTCTACCGTGTTAACCTGGAGTGTGAGGTATTGCACAACAGGAGATTTCTTGTCAGATATCCAGCTGACGTTGTCGCCACACTCTTTGAAGACAGTTTCCAGATCTTGCTGTATTGAACAGCCCTGGCCGATAAGGGGCAGAATCCACGCCAGAGTGAGTTCGTTCTCGCGGCGGTTGGTTGCCGAGGATCTGGGGATGGTCTTGAAAGCGTCGACTTCGTATTCCTCGGTGTGGCCACAGCCTGATCGATCCTCGATAGTAATGGTCTGGCAACCATACCTGATGGTCAAGGCTGGATTCTCAGTCATCTGCCCATCACAGCCGATCCACCAAAACGGCATTTCGGCCTGTTGGAATTTGACTGGGCTGTCCTCCATGACGAATGCGATATACGAGGCTTAGTTTGATGTAGAGAAGCTTACTTGGGTTTGTTACAAGCTGTACGTCTAAAGAGGTGGCCGTCTCTGGTCTTATATCACTGGCGCCCTTATAGACGTGCCTGCCTTCCAAGGCTGTCCTTGCATAGCCTCCTTGGAGGCCTAAGCAGGCAGGGAAGACATAAAAAACATAGCGACATGGTCCTTGGTCATGTTTGAGAATCCATATGGAGACACTGATGAACACTGCCACAGACCGACCGTGCACGGAATGATCGGGCAGTGCCATCATTGCTAGCATCTGGCCCAAGCCATACCTGGGGGGGGAGTAGGACTCCCATTGCAATGACATCTGAAGCCCAGGTAGTGTTGGCTATGTCCCAGCAGGCAGCCCAGGCTGGCCAGGGAAATGAGCCGTAAGGAATGCAGCACCTATTGTGGTAGGGCCGTGCGGGTTTACATGATCCGGGATCTGTCCATAGAGTGGTACAAAATATTTGAAGTCATTGCGATGTTTTTGATGGATAGTTTTCCACCATCACCAGTCACCACCACCAATGCACCTCGATTTTTCACCTTATTGAATACTTGTGCTCGAGTGCCCAATTCATTGCCCAACCCCTTGAGAATGCCATAACCAGAGACTTCATCACAATTCTTGCATAATCAACTCGTTAATGCAGCTGGCCCCCCTCTCTGAGATCCCGTCTAGCCCCATCTGGGAATGCCCTCACTTTGGCCCTCACTCTGGCCCTGGCCAGAGTGCACCTCGCCAGCACTATGGCCGAAACTGACAAGCGGTGAACTCCCATTGGTCGCAGTGGTTGTTTCGTCACCGATCAGAAAAAACTTCACCCGCCCCAGCACACCATGTGGACTGCAGCAACGCTGGCATGAAATTGAATCACAGGAAACAGGCTGGTGGCGGCGTGTAGAAGATGCCCAGCAGTCAACACGCACCCAAAGTCTGTCGCCACCGTCGCGCAATACGACAGCGCCGACAGAAGCAGCAGAGTATTGTTGGCTTTCTACTTGCCGGTCGGAGGCTCCTGTGAAGCTCAATGTCCTCCAGAAAAGGTATGTTGAAAACAAAATTTGGATCTGACCAGAGAAAGCGACCACCTTGGAGAGAGTGGCGGGCGGGGATGCACGGTGTGTTCGCCAACTAGCTAATTAGCGCGAGGCAGACAGGCTGTCAGCTGCGCCATGCGTATCAGGAACCTTTGAGCATGGTCTGCATTGCTGAGCAAACCACTTCCTTGGCACAGTGGCAGACCGATAGCCTGGTCATCAAACTGCCTATGGTGCATGGCTAGAACTGAGTGGCTACAAGATATGATGCTGTTGGAATGATGCACTCAGATAGCGAGCTCCATTATTAGCTGAAGGTGCCTCGCCTTCAACGCTTAGATTTCAAGACACTCCCGTCCAGGACTTGGCATTAGTCAAGGCGATATGCAGCTTATTAGGAAGGAATATTGATGTCTTATTTTCAACTCAGGTGGAGGCCGTGGATACCCCAATTACGTTCCACCCCGTCCTGTGGCTGGTAATCCTCCACATGCACACCCTGATCAATCAAACAAGCTATGTGAACGACTCTTGGAACTCTCTCCGAGCGCCTCTGGGCGAAACTCGCATAAGTCTGGGACCACTCCTCGAAACGGCAAGCGCGCGGGAGATGCCAGTGCTTCACGAATGCCGTAGCACAGCTCCGAAATTTGAGCATGTGGCCGGCTAGTCTGAACAGTTCAAAGGAATATATGCCCACCTCTTTCAGATAGAGACCGCAAAAGGGACTAAGAGCATGAAGAGGAGAAACCCCTGGGGAACTGCCTCATACAGCTGGCCACTCGCCAAGTTTGGACTTTCTGTACCTCCTAGAGCTGTGGTCCCATTAGGCAACCCTCCCAGGATCAGAATGACGGAGACGTGTTCATCCCTGTTGTATACTAAGACAGCACTCTTGTTGAGGCCCTGGTAGCTGCCGTTCCCCAGCAAACCGCTCGTGTATGATTCGTCATGATTTTCGTCGCAGCCACATGGCTCATAGATGGAGCAGATGCACTCGGCCGGCTTGGTATCGTTCCTTCGCGTCGTAGCGTTGTAGTAAATGCAGTAAGATCGCCATTCGTACACGTACTGGCCAACTGGGTATATCTCAGGGCGGGGTCCTGTTCCACCTGACGGAACCAACGTTGGTGGGTGCCCGCTAGAAGAGGGGGAGCCTGGCGGAGAGGGTTTCGACGAGCCGCCAGTGTAGAAGAGACCAAAGCTCGGTTTCGGGCCACTTCCAGTTGTGGTCAATCCACCGGCGTTGGAAAAGGGAGATCCTTTGGGGAAGTTCGTGACACTGTGGTATAGAGATTCAGTAAGATATCTCTGGCAGTTTTACGGGAGCACGCATCAACGAGGGCTGAGGAAGGAAAAGCGCTCTGCAGAAGGCTTCCATGCTGCCACATACCTCGATGACACACTACCGCCGCCTTTCGGTCCGCCAGCTTTGCCCTTGGCTTCCGCTAGGGTGAAGCATGCCAAAATTGTGAGCAAGCTAATCGGCCGCATCGAAGTGGAAAGGTGACTCGGATTGTGAGATTGATTGTTTGGTCAAGTTGGTAAGCCCGGGCCGTTAGGTGCATCTCTGGAGAAAACCAAGGACATAGATAATTCCTAGCCATGGTCACAGGCGTACGAGTGAGCTGTGGACAGGCTGCAGGTTGCAGGAAGCTTGGAGCCCGATGGGGTTGTGCTCGCATGTCCGCAAGGCTACTGCCAAGGCACACCGAAGAAGAAATCTTCTCCTGGAATCCTTTCAGGAGATGAGAACGGCTTCTTTGCTATCTGGATGGATTCGCAACTCATTGCGCTACTACAGGAGATAGTTATCTAGCAGCGCTGTAATGGCTTGCGATTGCCCTATGTAAGGACGACATAAAAAGCACCCGGTGGACAATGGCATCTGAAGCTCAGGTAATGTTTGGTTATGTTGTTGCAGCCCAGTCTGTCCTGGATAGTACCCCATCAGGCATACAGCCAGCTTGCAAGGGGGAAAAGATTGCTATCTTCCATACCCGCGGGCCGCAGGGAACGCAGCACCTGCGTGGACTGCTGCGACGCTAGCACAAAGTGGCTTGCAGAAGGGCAGCGGTGTGTGTGGAAGATATGAAGCAAACAACACGCACCTCAAGTCTGATGTAGCCTCATCTGCTCCGCAGCAAGGATTGATCACGGTGTAGCATTGTTGGCTATCTATTGGAGCCTGCTGTAGAGCTTAACGTCTTTCGTGAAATATGTGCTGCAGATACAGCTCATTGGCCTTTCGGCCATTCGCTTGTTGCATCCTGTGGAGAGAACGGGCGCTCTCTTGGATCTGACCTCATAGAAAAGCGAATGATGATCAGGCTATCGGTCTGTAAGGAAGTGGTCTGCTTAGCAATGCAGACCATGCGTAAAGGTTCCTGATATGCATGGCGCAGCTGTCTATGGTGCATGACTAGAACTGAGTGGCTGCAAGCCATAATGCTGTTGGAATGATGCACTCAGATAGCGAGCTCCGTTATCATCGTGAGATGCAGCTCTCGCGGGAGTCCTCGCAAGTCCGTTTGCTGATTCGCGCTTCGTGCGAACTGGAGAGGCGAGTCGCGAGGAGCAGCCTCATTGTGGGCAGTTTGCCGTCAGATTCTAGTGTACAAACAAAAAACCCGATCCGCGTGCACAGTCGACGCTGGTCTGGTCCTGTCGACTTTCGCAGTAGTGTGGGTGGGCAGCACCGCCAGGCATACAGGAATTCTGGTTCAACAGCAACATGCGGGTTTGCCTAGGCTGACTCCGCCACGCGCCCATCCGTGGGGCTGTGATTGTCGGTCAGACAGATCCTGCAACCTAGGGCAAGGCGTCCTTGGTCCGCGACCCAGATCGCCTTGCCGCGCTTTGCAACTTGAAGTAGACGAGCATAAGTACGCCCTGTGTCCCCTCGTGCCACCACAACTACATGCATCGTAATACAAATCATGCACTTTTTCTTGCTCTTGCTAGCGTGCCTGGAGGACCTGTTCGTCAAAGTCCGGCATAGTGGGGCATATAACCAGAACCCTTCTTGATACGTGCTCCCGCCTCCGATTTCCAACTTGCCTGCCTGGCTGTCTTCTCTTCATACCTGCAGGTAGGGGAGCCGTACTCTCAAAAGCAGTGCCGCATACTTCACCTGTAACGGCTTCCCGGCCCTCAACTCCGCCAGCCCCAAAGTGGGAGATATTTGGCGCCTACACCTAGGCCGGACTACACAATTGGCGCAATGTCTCCTGAGCTTCGTCCACAGAGGGCCCTGCTCCAGCAGCTGCTGGCGCGGCGGGGTCTGCGACCATGATGCAGTCTGCACCACACTATATAACCCCCGTTCTCCATAACACCGTACAAGCTGTGGCTCGAGCAGCTCGATCCAGGGGCTCGTCCGCCTCAGACCCCGCCGCCAGGCTTTCGCTGGCGACTTCCAGAACCATAATTGCGGCTCGCTAGCGCCCGGGCCATCCGTCGCCACCACTACGGTATCCCCGCAACACCACAAAGACGGCCTATTGTATGGTTCAGATCATGAGCAGCATGCAGGCATGACATATCCAGTGCCTGTCTATGCGACAGCCAAGCCGACCGATTCTAGGAAGAATCGCGCCGAGTCGCACACTGATGATGATTCACGATACGAGCGTCACCGACAGCTTCCCGACTGACCCTCATCCCAATTCTTTCTGGCGGTCCCTCTCCCCGATCACACCCTGTCATTCGCCGAGGCCTACATCGATGGTGTCCTCTATGGACACCATTGTCGCCCACATCTCCCCAGCAGCGTCGTCAGGGACGGCAAGGTCGCCGCTGTCCACAAGAATAAGGACCTCCCATTCAACTTTCTTCGCCAGCTCGGCTTCTACAACAACAAGTACTTTGCTGAACCCCTCCGTCTACACCTAATCAACCACATTGATCACAAGGGTGGCAACGTCTCTGCTCATTCAACTCATGGTCGGATCTGCTCTCGGCTCGCCCTTCCTCCCCTGATCGTCCGTCGGTCTCCACCGCCTTACAGGTCCCTCGACGGCCTCCCGTAGTCAGGTTCTAGCGGTTGTTGGGAACTTCACAGCCCATATCGGGATATCTTCAATGAGCATTGATAAACCTTCTGAGCTCAGCTACTCGAGGGAGAGTAACCTTTCTATTACTGCTAAGAACCATCGGCCCGTCTACTTTGCCGAACCAGTTCCCTCCATGCCGAGATAACCGCTAATATATGTGTGCAAGACATCCAGAACCAGCAGCAGCAGCGCCTATGTGGCGCCATGAGCCCTGAGTCATCTGCCCAGCATGTCGCAGATCGGCCCACGGTACCGCGATCGGAGCATCGAGTCTGGGAATCCCACTTGGAAATGAGCGTTTCGACAGAAGAACGGAGAGAAGCCCTTTGGTCTTGTAAGGCTTTACGGCACTTTTTCAATAACCATTACGACACGGATTCCGACATCTTCCAGCGAGCCTAGCGCATCCACCAACCCGCATCCTCGACACTCGAAGTCAGTAGCGGCATTCTGCTTCCATTTAGGGGGCCAAATCCTCGCTCGTCTACTCCAAGTATGTATGCTACTACGGGTTGACCTGCCATTCAGGAACGACCAGGCCCTGACCCTGAGGGTGACCACTTCCAGGAGTTCCACATGTTCAGGATGGACGTTTGCATCACCTTCGACAACACCCTTCAATCCTGCTCCTCTAGCTCAACACACAAATCAAGACCACCATCAAGCGCATCTCAACCGTTAGCGACGGTCTCGAGATCGACCCTGCTCGGCCTCGCCTCGACGACATCTAGTAACCCTGGCAATGAAGACGATGCAGACAAGGGATCGACGTACCTGTCAAAGGTTGCAGTCCGCTCTCGTCTGCGCTCGACGGCTGTGACGCTCGACGGCTGTGACAACTTCAACTCAATCTGAGATTATGTCACTCAGGTCATTATCCTCGCTGGCGAACTCGCCACTCCGGGCACGATACATTACGCTCGCTCGCCTCGTGGTTTTGGCACCTTTATAATGCAAAATCGAGCAAGGCGATCCAGCTGGTCAACTTACTCTCAGGCTCTTGCAGGAGTTCCAAATGGTGAGTAACACGATGTGCGTTGCTCTCATTGACGGACTAACATTGAAATGTTTAGGCGAGAAGCCTGCCACGAACTAAAGTGGGCCATTCGCACACGGCGGCATTGTTTGGCCGAGTTCCCATTCACACCACGAGCGTCTATTCACGGCACCGCGACTCTTTCCCCGCCTTGTTTGACATGCCTGAGGCCTGACGAGAGTGTCATCACATACTTCCCACACATGCGCCATCTCCTGCGCGGCCCTTACCACCACCTACTTGACAGCCATCGCCATCACAAAAAGGACTGCCCACCAAGCTGCAACCACCACGAACCTCGACCGACCATGCGGCAGACTGTAGTGTTCAGCACAAGCCCGGATCTTGTCCTCCGCACAGGATACGGCGTCACGACGAAGGACTTCTGCGTGGAGTCAGAATGTCTCACCCTGTGCTCACCATACTTCAGAGCTCTTCTCTCAAGCCAATGGTCTGAGCGGAAGCCAGACACAGGACCATGGGCCATAAGCATTTCTGATCACGATACCGAGGCGCTTGCGGTCATCCTCGCGTTCATTCACAGATCCGAATCTGCGGCTTAGCAGGCAGCACACCTGGACATGATTGAGCGTGTCATCGTTGCGCTTGACCGCTACCTCATGTTGGACACCGCCTGGGATATCCGGACGGCCTGGCTTGAAAAGGCTCGTTCGAGGCCAATAACAGATCTTGCCGCCATTGACGAGATGGTGGCATTGGGCGCAGGAGAGAGAGAAATCCAGAGTCGCATAGACAGCCTGTATGCTCGGTGGTTCGCTACTACAGGGAACTCCGACCCTTTGACCGGAACAGACACTGTTCTCATCATACCTGCTCTAGAAGAGAAGCATGCATCAGATCAAAAGAAAACAGCCGACATATCAGCACTTTCCCGCAATTTCGGGGTCGAATATGCTGACTTTCTCGCCATGCCACTTGGAACCGAGGAGCAGCCTACTTGGGGTTGCGGCGCCATGGACTACAGCCAAGTGTGTCACCAGAATCAGGTAAATGCGGTCTGGGCTGAGCTGCGACACCGTGGATATGCGGATCCAAGGAACTTCTTCGACCTGGCTCGACTGGAGGCGTCTCCCATATCAACCTATATCGACGAACTGTACTATTGGAACCCAATCTACGCGATGATCGGTCAGGATCATGAAACATGTGAGATCGACGCGGTCTACACCGAGAGATAAGTCGCATGAGGTCAGAGTGGTGGGATCAAGAGCAAGCAGAAGCCCTAGTCGATTGTTTGCGAAACATTCGTGCTGACGCGAGACATTGGGAGATGGCTTGGCGCGAGCCGCGCAGGTACCTGTCAGGCGTGGATGTATAGCGCCATGCAGAGCATGAATCTGAACATGAGGTTTGACGGCAGGACATAGGGATATCCCACCTCCGTGGACAGAGTAGGCCTCTCCACCGGGATGTCGTCATGATGTGAATCTCTGTCTGAGTTTATGTCGTGAGGAGGGCTTTCTTTCTGGTGCTACCTCCATTACTGCCACTAAGAAAGCACTGTACGAGCCACTTGAAAACAGTTTTATCTCTTGTAACTGGTGGTCTGAGTAGGGCTGTCTTCTAGTGAAACTGAATTCATCGTCCCAAGCACTCTCTCGATTCAAGGCCCTGTTGTCTGTGGAACAGATGGTGTCCATGCGAAGTCGGGATAACGTGCAATGTTTTATCCTATTACCCCCTCTTTCCAGCTCATCTCAAGCCAAGTGGCAATCACGAAGCCTTGAGGTCATCCGGACCAGCATAAGGACATCAAATAGTGGATCTTGATTAAGCAACAGACTTTGCACTACGGTTGATCTACAGACGGTCTGTAAGCACACCTAAGAGCTAAAGTAGATGGCAGCATCCGCTGTTGACCTGGCCGGGTGCTGCGCAGGTAGGCGGTGAAGCTGCAGCCTGTCCCGCAGCTTCAGGCTTACTTCGTAGTCGAGAATGTGCTGTTGTCCCCGCAGGGTTTGGCGGCAATCTAAAAGGGCTTAGCGTAGTTGCCGCTTTGCTACTATACCCAATCTGGCTCGGCCGAGAATACATAAGTGAGCTCTCATTCCCATCACTTTCTTGTACACTTGACTTCGTTCAACCTTTCTCTCATCACGCCATGCCCTTCAGCTCAGATGATCCCCTCTCTTTCATCTCGCTCCGCCACCTCCTATTCTCTACGAGCCCCCACCGCGCAAAAAAGATCACTATCTAGAGCCTATCACATCGCGGCTTCCACAGATTTATCATCGAAAGTTGTCAGCTCGTTATCAACAGCCTGGATGATCACATGGAAATCAATCGTGGACTTAGGAATGAGTCATTGAGAGCGTATCTGCATGATTATCGGCTGCAAACACGTCAGCATTAGCACAGTCTTCGTCGACACGATGAAGCCCGCGGGATTCGGAACTCGGAGCGCTCATCTCAGTGTCTTTGACAGAACCGCGGAACCGGCCTTGAAGGAATAATGGTATATCGTAGGCTTCTCTGTATCTCGGGCGTCTCTAGGAAGATCACATTTGACAGACTGGCCTCGTCGGTTAATCCAGCTTTTGCCGATGTGATATTATGTTTATCTAGTGGTCATTCGTCGACCGGACTTGACCGGATATCACGGCGTCCAGTAACATTATCTCCTGTACTACGTGGGCTCTCTGAGAAAGGGGCGAATGTATCAGCCCCCGGCTTCTGGGGTATCAAAGAGACCTAGCCAGAAACCCACCAAGAAATGAGGTTCAGTGACATATACAATGTAGCCACCGAGTATATAAGCTACAGTTCACCTCATGCTGATCGGATTGAAACTCATCTTTTAATCACTGCCTTTCACTCATTACCGCCTTACCCTCATTACCATGCGTATTACCCTTGATCATCAACAGTTCTATGTTCCGGGCTCGGCCAATGCTGATACTGGTACATACCAGCGAATGAAACGGAAAGCGTCTGCCTCTTGGACCTATCCCTCTCCTCCTCCTCCTCCTCCTCCTCCTCCTCCTCCTCCTCCTCCTCCTCCTCCTCCTCCTCCTCCTGCTGCTATTGAATCCAGCCAGCGACTTTCCAATGTCTCGAACCCAGTTAGTAGTCGACAGCCGGACCGCCCGAGGAACAGCTGGGAAGATCAACAGCTAAGACATAGCAACGCCGAATATTCATTATTAGGCTCAAGCAGATCAGCGGTCGAACGTAGACTACAATGTACGTTCAGCTCCTACAGCACCTTACCACACCACAGTGCATAATTCGTGCGAGTCGCGGAAGCAGTAACTAACCTAACGCACGACTCGTTCAGCATTTCCCAAGTCTCCTCGGCTGGGTTTCGAGAGCCTTCCGACCAAGAATGTGGCTGAAACGCAGAAGGGCGATAATGACATTGGTCTAAGAAATATAGATCCTATCCTTGCGGATAGCCAGGGTCTATCTGCGAATGCACGCCGGTTGTCTGGTATGTCAATCATGAAACGATTCGTGCCCACAATTTTCAAGTATTTAGTGAACTAAAGCACCTCTAGTCCACGTAGAGGACCACAATAGCCACAGGAGAGATAATCCCGAGCTCAGCCTAGGATGCTTCCCGTCTGCGGCCATACGCCAGACGACGAGTAATAGATTACTCGCAACTCCATCCGCGATCAATATCGACCAAGAACCTGTGCTAGTGTTTGACGAAGAAGAACACGAGCTCAGCCTTAGTGTTGGCGAACAGATCTCCGATAACGTTTTTCAGGGGGACTTCAGCAACTACCGAGACCCCATTGCAACCCAATCGCATAGCGCAGTCGCGTGTCCGCAGGGTCGTCCGGAGTCAGCTTGGCCGCTTACGCAAAGATCGACATCACCAGAGCATGGTCATCAGCAGCAGATCAGTGCCGAGCAGATGGCAGTCTCCAAGTCAAGCTCTGTTTTAGCGGACCTTCCACCTAAGGATACGAGTACAGGGACATATGAACAATGGGAACTACATCATGGGTTGTTGAGTCGTACTACACTCGGCTCTGAAACGCACTTTCAGATGCAATTTGCATGGGATCACAACACAGATGGCCATATCCGTCCCGGGGACTGGGATCTTCCAAATGCCCACCTACAATCTACTGGCGACGGTAACTTCAAGCTGTACTTTTCTCGGGACGCTGGAGGGGAGCCGACCAAACATTCTTCCAAGAAGCGTCGGCGCTCCTCTAAGAAGGTCGGAAAAGCTAAGAAGAAGAAGTTGGCCGTTAATACGGGTAAGTCCTTCACTACAGCTCTGACATCTCGATCGTGTGCACTAATTGATAACACCTTAGAAGCTGATGACGAAGAAGATGACCAAGAATATGAAGTTGACTGCATACTCGAGAAATACGGCAGGAATAAGTTCCTCGTCAAGTGGATGGAGGGCAAGCCGAGTTGGACGACAAGAGATAAGATCCATGAAAAACTCACAGATGACTTCGACAAGGTCTTTAAGGGTTATGGGCGCGGAATTAAACTCATCGGGGTCAGGGTTTCCAGTAAGCGTGTCAAAGAGTACCGTGTCGAGTGGGAAGATGATCAAGTAACTTGGGAGAGAGCGGGCCGGATCGACTGGGGCGTCTACAAAGGTGAGATACCTAGCTTGGTTATGAAGTAATAAGGGAGGAGAAGACGCTGGAGGAAGATAGCCTCGATCGTGGCTGGCCCATGGAGGTCCTTGCTTAGTTTGTTCCTAGGTTCTTCCGCGAACACAGAGAGGCTCTAGGATGAATCTCTGTTTTAACTTGTTCTTTTATAATCACACTGTTCCGCACTCGATCCAGGTATATACAAGATGGTGCATGTACGTACCGGGAAACCGACTGCCCATAACCGGCCTCGAGGTCTGCTTATGTTACGACTGCTATGGTGTTCTGACTTCTGACCACCACTTGTAGAATGCATCACAACATCACGTTACTCTGTACTAATTCATGTTCGTTATCCATAACGTTAGAGGATCTTGTAGTTTCAACTTCCCGGCTTATTTACCTGGTGGAACACCCGGCCGACAGAGGCTTTCAGTATACCGCCCAGCCTCATGCAAGTCGCTCAGTAGAGCTTGCCACGGTTTAGGGTACTCGGGCTTCTCACATGGTGCTCAATCCCTCCAACGACTGATGAGGCGCTGCTCAGGCACACCTCATATTGCTCAGGGACTGCTCAGGGACGGCTTAGGCTGCTCAGGGGCTACTCAGGGACGGCTTAGGCTGCTCAGAATCTGCTCAGGTAAGACTCAGGGTAATCAGAGATTGCTCAGGACACTCTAGGGACGAGCCAGGACGATGTCACATTAGTCAGCGTTGTTTGAGCGACACCGTGTACTTTGGAAATGCATCTTTGCGATTCGCCAAATCTGGCGAAAGCGCCTTGAGGGGCTGACCATGCTGTCTCCACGTGTGAAAGCCTAACTCATGGCCGCTACAGACAGTGAGCCAAATTTGGCGCTTGTCAGCCTCAGCTTCGCTCGACGCGGACAACGACAGAAATATTGCAGCCCGAATCTTATGTCGAGGGACCAATAAGCACGCGCAGTTCGTACTGAGACTTCATAGAATGATTGGTTGGCACGACGCCTCCTAGAACAGCTCACCACGCTCGTGCGCTTTAATTCATGGGGAGTCAATCTCAGTAGTTCAAGCTTGCATTATAGGACAGATGCGGCGGATGAAACAACCCGATTTGATTCTGAAGAGGAACAATCACAATGTTCTCGACTCAGTGACTTGAGTAAACAACTACACCACAACAAGCAGAGCACGCCGCCGATAACTGGAAGCCCTGAAGACGGGGATCGCCAACCTGTTACATGGCCCTGACATGGAGGCACCGAATTGACGCAGCCAGCTGCTGGAAGGCGGGTGGCTGACTGGCCACTTCAGAGTGTAGGTAGGATACCGCATTCTTGCCGGCCAATGCCGCGACAGGCACAGAACATGGCGCTCATACCTTTAGCAACAAAGTCTGGCGACGCAGCCTTGGAATAGCAAGGTCCTCCAAGAAAGCGTCAACCGCGGTCACAGGCCGTCGTGCAGAGGCATCATGTCATAGCCCACGGATGGCTGCGGGAACTCCAGCCCTGGAGCTCAGTCACGTCTGACTCATGCACGCCTACTTGCGCCTCATACACCGGCTGCATAGACATTGATGCGCTATCACAGAGAGTCAGGTGAAGTGGTAATGCAGGCTGAGGGTA